GAAAGAAAGCGAAGTACGCTGTGTTTTGTGGCAGTGATTAGGCAGCCGGGAAATGTTTTGAAAGCGGTAGATAAGCTTAGATACATGACAGTCTTAAATTTATTCCATTTTCACGAATTCTCCGATTTAATTCTTCTAAAAACATAAAATGCTTCTTTAGAAATCTCAAGCGATTTCAAACATTGCCCTTGGTTGGAGGTAGACTCAATCGTCGATCTTGGGCATTTTGTGATTCTCATTGTTTTCAACACATGACCGGTGTGATGCACTGAGTCAGTTTTCAGGATATCCAGATAAACTAAGTCTTGCGTTACTTTATTTAGTTGACTTGTTTATAAATAAGCTTAAAACTAAATTTAATACTCTTTTTTACAGAATGAATCACAACTCCTTTTGAAGAAATTTCCCTGCACGAGCTAAACAAATGCCTTCAAAAGTCTTATTTGTCGGCAAGAAAAAGAGGGTCTCAATGGGGTGGTAGTTTTTACGGTTACCGCCTAAAATTTTGGCTCTTTTTTCAGTTTTTTTTTTTTTTTTTAATTATTATTTTTTCCACAATAAGTATTGACATACATTGTAGTAGTACATATAGTAAAATAAAATCACAAAAAAAGTCATACAAGATATTTGATTTCAAGTCAAGGGATTCTACAATTTACAAAGCAATTGAAAAACGTGGACATGTTTCGAGTATGCAACTAATTTGTATGACTAAACAAAAAAAACAAATATTGTCACAAAAACAGAAAGGCACGAGACTAAAATAAACAAATAAATCAAGCAAAAAGTATATACAAATATATATAGTAAAATAAAATCACACAAAAGGTCATACAACATATTTGGTTTCAAGTTAAGAGATTCCACGTTTTACGCTTCTTATATATTGTTAATGCAACAGATTTTGTGAGAGGTTATTTTTAAAGCGAGACCATTTCCGTACAAAGACGTTTGAGTCGTTATTGTGGAATGCAATATGCTTTTCAATTTCTATCGAGTTCATAAGTACCTGTATATACACCTGCAGCTTAGGAAGCTTGTTCCCAAGTCTGCAGGTGTATATGTAATGTCTAGCTATAAGGAGTAGGTGATGAAAGAGAAGGTCTTTTACGTCGTCAATGAGACCGAAACAGAGAGACAAGGAGGGAGAGACGTTTTCTAAATCTTTGAAATTTTGAGACATCCACTCGAACATGCTCTTCCAGAAGTTCTGAGTGTATTTGCAAGTCCAGAATAGATGAACGAGGGTTTCTTTTTGTTCCTCGCAAAAGGAGCAGGAATCTGTTTGTTTGATACCTATTTTGTACAGGAAGTCATTTGTGGCTATTTTTCTGTGAAGGAATTTAAATTGGAACGCTCTAAGCTTTGACTCTCTTGTACACAGAGATGATAGGCAGTACGTATTTTCCCAGTTTACTATTATACTAAGATTACAATGTATGTCTCTCTCTTCCAACCACTTTCCCTGACTCCTTGATGGTATAGAAGCTTTTTCGTTTATTAGACATTCATAAATTTTCTTGGAAACTTTGGTGTGAGACAGAAGGGTATCAACTGGATCCTTTGGAGTTGGGTCATGATAGGCTGTAGAGTGTACTTTCTTGTAATGTGCTACAGCAGATATCACTTTGTGATATTCGAGATAATTGGTTTTGATGCTATATTTATCTATGAAGGCGTTATAGCTTAGAAAATTCTGGTCGTTATCTAACAGATCTCTAATCTCCTTTATCCCCGCGCTCAACCATGATCTGTAGAAGAATGGGCGATTTTCAATTCTAATGTGAGAGTTGTACCATATATATGTGGAGGCAAAATCGAGGTTATCGTCTTTGTAATTAAATTTTGTCCAGTACTGTATGATTTCTTTTAAGAAAGGGTCCTTGAGGTTGAGCAGTGCAGAATCTTGCTGTTTCAAATTGCTTCGGAACAATAGTTTTCCCCCGTACTTCCCTAAGTAGTGGTCAAAAAAAAGTTTCCACTTCCCTTTATTTTCTTCATTTAGATACCCTTGGATCCATTTCATTTTCAAGGATTCATTAAAGCTTTGAATATCTAACATCTTAAGTCCTCCTTTCGCGTAATTATTTATCATTGTCGTCCTTTTGATTTTATCGCCCTTACCGTCCCAAAGGAAATCGTACAATATAGAGTTGATTGTCTTAAGTATGTCAGGAGGTGTTGGAAGAGATGACAATATGTAGACGATTTGTGATACGGCTAGAGTTTTTATGATTGTAATTTTACCCAAGAGGGTCAGTCTTCTAGCCGACCAATTATCTAAGATACTCCTTATTTTCTCAATTTTCTCAATAAAGTTAGAATTAAGAGACCTATCTTCCAAAGTCGAAAACCACACTCCCAAGGCGAAGACCTTCTCGTTTGCCCAAGTTATTGGTTTACTTGAAGGGAAAGTGAGATTAGAACTTTTAGAGGCGCCAATCCAGAGGGCTTCAGTTTTTTCATAGTTGACCTTCAAACCCGATATGCAAGCAAAAGCATCAAGTAAGTACAGAGACCTCAAAAAGGAGGACTTGGAGCCATCCAAAATCATAGTCGTGTCATCTGCATATTGGGATAACTTACACTCAGTATGAAAAATCTTTATTCCACGGACCTCATTATCTTTCCTTACTGTATTACCTAGTATTTCAGCGCACAAAATAAATAAATATGGGGACAGCGGGCATCCCTGTCTCACACCGCGACCTAAGTTGAAAAAATCCGAAGACCATCCGTTGTTCAGAACACAGCTGCTGATATCGGTATAAAATACTTTTACCCAAGTAACCAGAGAGGTTCCAAAATTATAGTACTTCAGAGTTTTTTCTATAAAGGACCATTCAATGCTATCGAAGGCTTTTTCGAAGTCGACAAACAGTAGTAGACCGGGTATTTTTTCTGTATTTGTGTAATTAATAATACTATCAATAAGTCTGATGTTTTCTCCGATGAATCGGCCTTTTAGAAAACCAGTTTGATCGTTGTTAATTATCCTTGGTAGAACCTTTCGTATTCTACTTGCAATGGATTTGGTGGCTATTTTGTAATCGCAATTAAGCAGGGTGATAGGCCTCCAATTTTTTAGCAGGTTGGTCGGTTTGTTCTTCTTTGGTATGAGAGTAATCAATCCTCTTCTTTGAGTAATCGATAAGAGACCTTTTGTATATGCACAATTTAAGGCATTTAACAGATGCTGATTGATGTCATTCCAAAAAACTTTATAGAATTCGGCTGGGAGGCCGTCACTTCCAGGGCTCTTGTTTGATTCCATTGATTTTAAACTTTCTAAACATTCAGAGGCAGTCAGGAAGCCTTCACACTCTTTTTGCTCTTGCTCATTTAGGATAAGAGTATTTCCGTCTGGAAAAAACATACTTTCTTCCTTAGTGTCGGGTTGCGTATTAGCTGAAGAATAAAGATTCTGATAGAAGGATTTTGCTTCTTCTAGGATCTCGCTATCTGTATTGACGACATTATCATTTGCTAATGTGAGGTGTTTGATGGTTTTTTTATTGAAATGTCGTTTTTCCAAGTTTAGGAAGTATTTTGTATTTTTCTCTCCTTCATTATGCCACCGAGACTTGGATCTTAATATTGCTCCTCGAGTTTTATATTTTGAAATTTCTTCTCTTTGTAGAATCTTAACATCTATTTCACTATAAATATGGACTTTCTCATTTTCAGAAATGTTGTTTTCTTCTAACTCCTTTTGGAGAGACAATATTTCAGATTCAAGTTTTAACTCAAGTGATTTCATTTTAGCTTTCTTTCTCCTTGCATAGTTTAGAGAGCTTGACCTAATTTGCATCTTCATGGTGTCCCATAATAGAATGGCATCAATCTCGTTATTGTTCGCATATTCATTTGCTACATCAGTGATTGTTTTCTTAATTAGGCCGACATATTCTTCATCTAACAGAAAAGAGGTGTTCAATTTCCAAAAACCCGGGCCCCTGGGGTTTGCATCATTTGCCAAATGAATAGATATTAAAGAGTGATCTGTTTTGTACCCAGGTAATATGTCTGCATTGGTGATAGTTGTACTTAAGCTAGAGCTTGTCAAAAAAAAGTCTAGACGGCAGTGTATGTCAGGTTTTCTTCTCCTCCAAGTGAATCTTTTAGCTTCTGGGTTAAAGCAACGCCAAATGTCTATGAGATCCAATACGTTTGAAATGTGCTTGACCTCTTTTAACGAGTTGTTGTGGGTTACTGGTCTTCCACCTTTTTTGTCTTTTTGGACATCAAGCACTAAATTAAAGTCTCCACCAAGAATTATCTCGCTGCAGTCAAAACAGAGAAGTTGGTTTAGAACGTTTTGGAAGAATGTAGGCTTGTCTTCATTCGGTGCATAAATATTAACCAAAGTTAAGATCTTACTTTCTAATTTGATATCAACCATGACGAACCTTCCCTCTGGATCGGAAAAGGATTTTAAAATTTGAAAGTTGAAATTATTATTAAAAAGCACACATACTCCGGCGCTGGCGCTAGAGAAGCTGCTGAATATGGCGGAATACCCCCACTCCGCGGACCATATGTGCTCTTTGTCTTCTGTACAATGAACTTCTTGTAAAAAATAAACGGCATATTTCTTCATCTTAAGCCAACGGAAGGTCTCACGCCTTTTCATGATGTTCGACAAACCTCTCACGTTTAATGAGCAAATTACTAATTCGGCGTTGTATGGGATAGTTTGTGGATGCTTATAAACAAAGCAATTGAAAAACGTAGATATGTTTCGAGTATGCAACTAATTTGTATGACTAAACAAAGAAAATAAATATTGCCACCAAAAACAGAAGGGTACGAGGCTAAAATAAACAAATAAATCAAGCAAAACATTAAAAGTCCGTTGGTTGGGTCCATAAGGAGTCTCAGAAGAACTTAGTCTGATACGGGAAGCAGCCGTACGTTCGCGTGACAATGGAAAAACAGAAAATTTAGATTAAATGTCTCCATTAAGCCTGTGCACTGGATTGAGGAGGTCTAAGGTCTTCAGGGATATTACTTACTTTGTAAATAACATTGTTGATAATAAGCTTTCTATCGATAACTTTTGCGCTCAAACCTCGCTCCTTTGCTTGGAACATCGCTTTGATTAATACTTTCCTTTCCTGCTGTATCGCTTTTGCGTAATCTTGCGTTATGTATACATCCTTAGCTCTCGATGAATCTTTCAACCTGTTTCTCTCTCGAAAAACTGCGTCTCTGTCTTCCCTGCTGAGGAAGCGTGCAATAATTGGTCTCGGGAAGCTTTTGGAGGCATCTTCTGAGCGCGGTTTCCCAACACGATGAACTGCATGGAAGTGAATATCTTCTACATTGATATTCATGTCATTTTCAATTATATCATACACTACATCCATGCAATTTTCGTCATTGCGTTCAGGTACATTCATAAATCGAAGATTCTCGCGTCTAGAATAGGTCTCCAAAGCAATAATTTTCTCCTGTTCTTCAAGCAGCCTTGTTTTCAAATTTTCGATTTCAGCTTGTTGGCTGTCAACTTTTTTGAGGTTTACTTTGAGCAGGTCTAGTTCTTGGCGATGAGAGTCGAGGCTTTGTTGGCATGTTTTCTTGTAGTCGTTGTGGGTTTTTGTTTCTTCTTGAATGTCGTTGATTGAATCCCAAGCCGCCTCTAGAGATTTTTCTACGTCTCTCAGGGACTTTTTCACACCATCAAGTTCTTGTTTCATTTCGTGTCTCAAGATTGAAATTTCGGATGTCAGGTTTCCAAAATGCTCTTGCATTTGAGTATCTAAACGAGAAAGTTTGTCCATAATTTGGTTAAACTGCTCCAGGCTAAGGGCCTCAGATTGTTTGCTGTCTTCCATCACAGTGCTGCTAGAGCGACGATTTCTTTTGGGCGATGGCGTCTGTTGTGAAGACGAGCTTGATGATCTGTTTTCTCGCTCGTTTCTTTTAGACATTAGAGGCTGTCGGGTCTACCGCCAGATTTTGGCATCGATGTTTCATTACCAAGATATTAGAATACAAAAATGACGCAAAAATTCAACGTTAGGCGTACTTCCCGTCCACAAATTTACGCAGCGACAGTGACACGTCTTGCCGCCATGATTGCTCTTTTTTCAGTTACGGTTAACAAAAAAGTTAAAAATTCATTTCTTTTGTTTCAAATAGTTAAATATTAATTAACCTGTATTTCTTGTATCTTTAAAGCAAAATAAAGGTCTTCAGATCATCTTGGGATGAAATAAGCAATTCTTTTGAAAAATTTTAACATTTGATGGATCATACTTTTTTCAAGTATTACACTTCTAATATCATTTTACACAAAGAAATGTCAATATACGATTTAAAATAATCAAATAATCTTTGTGAAAAAGCAAATTAAAGAAGACACGCGAACGCCCAACTCAAGGCCGAGGCGTGACATTCATTTATAACAGAAATGGCCGTTTTCACACTAGAGACGGATTATTCGTGTGAGACGGGTTATCCGTTTGATGATTCGCGTCAGATAGGTAATGAGTCTTAATTTGAAAATGGAATAGTTTTAATTTTGAATGAACAATCCGCCTGACTTTATCCATCAATTTTGACGGACAGTTTGAAGATGGATTATCCATTTCAGAGAGCCTGTGTACAGCAGCTCCCTCCCCTCGGAAAAAATCAGAGAAGGGGTGTCTGTGGGGGAGGGGGCGATTGTACACAGGCCAGTCTCAGACGGATAATCCATTTCTAGCTCTAGTGTGAAAACGGCCAATAACAAAAATTCCGGTTTCTAGTGTTTTAAATGATAGCGAAGGACTGTACAGAACGACTGTCTGCCGTTGACTTGTCCGTAGGCCTCATTATTCCGCGCGGCTAATGCGTTTCGCGTCACTTGGTCCGAGCGAGTTCGCCACCGAAATGCCTTGACTGAGACTGCGTGGGAACACGTCGTACAGGGACTAGGCATGGCAATGTCAACCGTAGCGTCAGAGAAAAACGGGAAAATGTTTATCAGCAACGTGTTTTACAAACAGTGTCATCTCTGCGTGTTGTTTCACTAGTGTTTCGAGGGCACGACCTCCTGAAAATCGCAAATATTAATCCCCAGTAAGAAGCCACACTTTCGCTATGGAACAAATTACATGTAGTTCCCCAAGAGAGCGGCGGAAATGGAGCCTAGGTCTAGGTCACAACTTAAAGGCCCTTGGCGTAACGTGCGTACAGAGTCACAGTACCCGGGAAGTAAAAAACGCATTCCGTAAGGGAGTGTAGCACCTTCCTTAAAATCAACAAATCTAGGGAACATTTTCCTTTACGGTTAACTCTTTTTTACCGTATTTACGGCTAACGGTTACAATTTTTCAATTTTTACGGCTATCGACTAAATTTTTGGCCGTTTTACGCCTATTGGTTAACCCATTGAGACCCTCGAGAAAGCGACGGCTACTGCCGTTCTGTCCTTGCGAGCCAAAATTGTAATCGTTGGCAACATAAAATAAGTTAAAAATCATCATTTTTGTGCTCAATTATGTCACTGTTTTAGTATACTAAAACAATTATTCACCTCAGCGTCGGTGGATAGTGGTAAATATTTACCTTGCCGCCGCGCGGCACGGTAAATAGCACCAATAGCCACCCCGACTTCGGTGAATAATTGTTACGGATAGAAAGTTGTCAGCGAACATACCTGATATAGGTGCTGATCAAGGACCACGGCAACCGATTTTGCAAGCTTATCGATGCGTCAGTACCATCCGACCAAAACACCTCGACAAAGGTCATTGAAAAGGTCTCGAAATACAAAGACCTTGAGATCGAAATCACGAAAATACGGCGAGTGAAAACAGAGATTGTGTCAGTTATTGTTGGTGAGCTGGCACTCATAAGTAAGGGAATGGAATATAACTTAGGAAAGATCTCTGGAGCTATTAACATCAATGAGCTGCAAAAGATCATCTTAAAAATTCTCAAAAAGATATTGCACCATAGGACTCCAACTTAATACATGGAGTCATTTTTTGATTTCCAATGAAATTCTGGCTACATTGTAGTTATTTAAGAAAAAAGGGCGGAAATCAACAAAAAACAATGCCTTTAAGAGTCGTTGTCAGAGAAAACCGGGCAAAATGCTAAAAATGTCAAAGGAAGGGGGTCAACAGAATAAGTTCATACTAACATCATAGATAGATTAGGTGGAGTGATCTACAACGTACAACTAAAACGACAGAACAACTCTGACAGCCATATTGCAGTCTACTATCTTCCATGTAACCAAAACACTAATAATCATTTTGGGCCATTGAAACAGGAAGAAATTAGAAAACTCACATTTGTTATACTTTACAAGCTTTTTCTCGCAAACAGGCCGATCCCTTCGTGTTTGTTTTAAGTCCTCTTCGTGAATTTTGTTTCATATTTCGCTGTAAAGTGTGTTCTAGTCTAGTGAAGTCGCTCGAATTCTCTTTACGCTTAATTTCCCGATTTGTTGCTGGAAGGGGAAAAACTTATCGTCACAAAAAGCAAAAAAACCCCAGCTTATCAGCGACCTACTCCAGTCTTATTTCTTCTTCAATTACATCTTTTAGTTGAATTTAGCTTGTTTATCTTTCAGAGGAAAAAACGAGAAGAACACCTGATAGTAGGTTAATTGGTGATTAACTGGCATTGTTTCATTCCCTCCTCATTTCGAGGTGACTAGTATTTTGGGATGTCATATAAGAGACTATTGCAATAGTCGAGCCTGGAAATCACAAGGGAATTCACTAACATTTTCAATCCATCGGAAGGAAGGTACTTTCGAATACGACCAATTGATCTTATGGCATAATTGACTTTCTTGCACATTTCGTTGATATGTTCACTGAAAGACAAGGTTTTATACATGATGACACCCAAATTTGCAACATATTACTCTGTGGTCAGAGTGAACATCAGCAAGTACTTGGACATGCGGGATCACGTCTTCTTCCTTCCTAGTTATGATCAAGTCAAGGGTGTGTCCATGTCGATGAGTAGGGCTCTTAAAATGTTATATTAGGTTAACAGACTCCAAGAGATCAGTAAATTTAAGAGCATCGCGATGATTCAAGTCATCGACATGGAAGTTGAAGTCTCCAGCAATGACTAGTGGATAAATATAGTCTTCCATCAGATGTTCGATAAGCTGACAGAATTCTTCGAAGAACATCGATACGGTCAACTTGTTCTCCCTGGATGGTGGTGGACGATAAATTATAACCAGGCGTGCTTTAAATTTCACATAAGAGATAGTAACGTCCAAGTGTTCAAAGGATGTAAACTAAGGACTTGCATTCTTTACGGTGTTGAAAACTTTCCGAAAAAACAATGCAACACCTCCGCCTTTTGCGTTTTCTCTCGGGGCTTGAAGAACTTTGAAATCTGTTAGTGAATTTAAATTTTCAGCGAGTGAAGTATTATTTCCATTGCTCGCCAGCCAGGTTTCAGTGACTGAAAAAATATCTAGTTTATTAGATAAGATGATGTCACATACTGATGCGGTCGAGCAGACTGCGAAAATTTTTGGTTGGAAGAATTTCATTCCATTGTCTTGAGTATTCAATGAAATTCAATTAAAAAGACAACAAATGAGAAAAAAAAGGAAACAAAGAAACAACAAAAGCAGAAATTTCAATGAAGAGATTAAATTGAGGATAAAGTCCGAGATAACAATTATCATTATTGCTGTAGACAAAGGCAATGTGTTGAGTGTATATAAACGTTTTGAAAACAAAAACAGGTAGGTTAAATAGTTTTTAACATTGAAAAAGAAGTTATGGTGGAAACGTCAATTATCGTAAACGAATGACATATATAGGAAACTGTTTGCTGTAAAATATCTGGAAAACATCTCAAACGTGGTGGGCTCTCTTTACCCGTTTCAAAGTTATGTCAGTGCGGGCACTCTGTTTCCCCAAGGACCCCTACCCTTCCCTCCTCAACTGGTAGAACTAAAAAAAATAGACACGATCACTTTAACTGGCGAAATACATCGTTATTGGCTTGACTTTAACGCAGAGTATCGTTAAGAAGGTACCAAAAATTAATCCGTGAGTCTGATAGATTTCCCATTGCTTTCACTTGCAGTGCGACGATTTTGGACGGAGAAATTTTAAATCAGTAACTCTCCTTTCTTAACGATCTTCCAGGCATGCAATCGGGGTTTTCGATCGCTACGTTTGGATAGTGAACGCGAATGTATTATGCTGTCATCTTATTGGTCAATTCCGAACACCAGCTTCGCGAAATCAGTGGATTGTCTAAGGGAACCGCTATTAAAGTGGTTAGTGGTGGTGGTGCTGGTGTATGTCTGTGTTGGGCAGAGGGGGAGGGGGGGGGGGAAGGAGGGGCGGTGGAGTTTTCAGTTTAGGAAGTGAAGTAAAACGGATTCCTGGTGATTCTGTTTTTGTTGTTATTTTGGCAAGTGGCCGCTTAATGGAGGTTGGCCGCTCAACAGAGGTTCGTCATAAATTAGCATAACATGAACATAATCTTCAGCAAACCATCACTTCATTTTGAAACAAACACACGACGGGAGCAGTAGCAATTAACGTATACATAAGATTGTCGCAATTTGGTCATGTATCTCCGGTTAGTTAGCGAAATACAACGTCTTGAAATTGTACATTCAATTTTCACTTTCAGTTACATGTGGGTCAGTAGTGAACGGAACACTAAAAAGTCCTGCATATTCAAATGAATTCTATGCAGACAACATCAACTGCATCAACAATGTTTCGATCCCAGATGGTAAGGTGATGAGACTCAAGTTTCGAGCATTTGCTCTGGTATCGGATTCAAAATGCAGGTAAGGGTAAATACGTTTGGCTCGTCTTTTCTGAGCTTTAATATTGTGATAGCGGAAAAGTAACTTAAAAAAAAAGAGCTGTTTGAAAGAGCCTTCAAAGCCCATTCGGCTGTCATAAAGTCGTTTCCTTCTATCGGTTTGGTCAAAAAAGCTGCAAATTACTATAGGGCTACCCTGGACCCATAGGGCTTCTCTTTTTATTTCTTTCAAACGAGCGTCCGTGAAACGCCTAGTAAGAGACGAAAAATCTTGTGACCATCGTACCGAATCTCACTTTCATGCAGGCGTTAGGTGAAGATCTGACCCTCGGGTTCTGGCTATTTTAACCACTACGAAATTCAAATCTTACTGGTTGTTGCCATGCATCAAGCAAAGCGACAGTAGGGACATTTCTTATTTTTCAGCAAGGTATAATTAATATTGATAGAGATTTTCTTGTAGGAATGTTTATTTGAAAATATCGAATGGTGTTACTGAAGATCGATTCTGCGGTGACCAGCTCACTGGAAGAGACCTTCTTGTGTCAGGCAATTACGTTGTATTGACATTCCACTCGGATTGGCGGCTAGTTAAAAAGGGACGATTTGAAATATCCTTCGCTTCAGAAATTCCCTGTAAGTTTAAAAAAGTTTCAGATTAAAATCTTAATATTGTTTCATTATTTCCACAGCACTCATCCTTTCTTGTCCTTATTGCACTTACAGTTGTATCACAATCCTTTTAGGAAATTAAATGAATCATTCTCGGGTCTAGTCTGTTTTGAGTTTGGTGATATTTACTAAGGCGGTAAATATCACCAAACTCAAAACAGACTAGACCCGAGAGAAAATCTCTTCAATTTGCAACTGCTTTCTCTTTAGTGTTCAACTCTTGGACGTACACCCATATTCGCGTTCCACGGTGGAACTTTTATTTTTATGCACGCACGCTACCTCGTTACCTTCAGTTGGTGATTTAGCAATTTAAAGAGGGTACCCTATACACCTTTGCACAGGGCGTCATAGTATGGCGTACGATCCCCGCCAAAATTCATGGTTTGAATTTTAAGTTGCTCATTTAAATTTTCAACTTCAACGCTTGAATTTTACAGCTGAATTCAATACTTAACACTCTTCCTTTCAAATTGACATCATTGGAAAACGTTTTTTACATTTGCCTTTTAGCTTTTGAACTCAACTTTTTTATTTGGCCTTGATGCCTGAACCAGTACTCTACATTTGACTGAGATGCCAATTTTGCACTCGATACTGACTCTCCGCATTTGGCCAGTCACCGCGTCAAATTTCAAACTCAGCGTCGTATATTTTCAACTCAGCTTTTGAATTTTTATTTACGCTTCAGTCATCATTGGACGAGACAAAAGAAGCCTTTGTGGGATTGGGAGATGGCGACCGATCGACCTCCTCCCCCGGCTTATTCGTCCATCATGCTTTGTGAAAAAAGGGAGTCAGTAGTCAACACACGACTTCCACATCAAGCCAAAATCCTGCTTGCTCTGTTAAAACGTAAAACTTTTTAACTCAAAGATTTTCTTTTGTCCGTGAATGAGATGATTTCCTGCAATTTTTTGTCCCTCTGGGCCCAGATCGTTAACGTTCTTTGCAGATTGTTAAATTCTCATGGATAGTGATTTACAGATCCAAGTTTTATATATAGAAGAATCAATTGCAGCTTAAAATGAAGCCACATCAACTATGGACAATGTGCATTATGTAGTTCAAGAAATTATCGATCCCCCCTCCCTCCGACGGAGGGCACATTTACTTTAGACCCCTCCACCCCTTGGAATTTGCCTTCCAGGGGTTTCTTGTCAGAACGCCACACCCCCAGGAATTTTCGTAATTTTCCATCTTGGTTAGGCACCCCTTGGAAATAATATTTCCGTCAAAGTTTGCTGTTGCAAACCAAACTTTTCTCCGGTTTTCCGACAGAACAACAAGTATCACAAAATTCTGATACTCTTTAATTGGAGACACCTGTTTCCTTTAAAATTTGAATTGTATTTCAATTGCTGTAAGAACTGATTTGTTCAGGTACTAAACTTTTGACTGTAAATTGTATTTGTCCTTTTCACCTGCCGAATTACCCACGTCCATCCTCGCCTTAAACGAAGATCTTACGACAATATCTCAGTGGTGCTGTAAAAACTCTCTTTTGATTAATCCGGACAAAACTAAGGTTCTAGCTGTTAGATTACCACAACTTTTAACGAAACTGTCATCATTCAGTATAACACTTTTTGACAAGGAAATAACACCTGCGCCTGTTGTTAAGGACTTGGATGTTCTTCTCGACACACGCCTCAGTTATAACCAACATATCACTGAGACTGCCTCGAAATGCCTTTTTAAATTGTACCAAATTAACAGAATCAAGCATCTCCTGGATAGGAAAACACTTTTGTTAGTAATAAATTCATTTGTCTTTAGTAAACTCCAATATTGTTCAACTGTCTGGAGTAATACCAGCAGCAGCAATATTGACAAGTTACAAAAAGTCCAAAACTTTGCTGGACGAATTATTCTGGGACTAAGAAAGTATGACCATATTTCGGATGGGTTGCGATCGTTGAAATGGCTTCCTATTAGAGAGAAACTCATTCTAAATGACGCTACTATGATGCACAAATGTATTAACAAGCTTGTTCCAGACTATCTTGCTGATATGTTTAAATCACGTTCTCAAGTCCATAATAGACAAACTCGATCATCTGGTGCTTTGGATATACCTTTATGTCGCCTGTCAACAGGGCAGCGCTCCTTTGCTTTCAGAGGAGCCAAACTCTGGAACTCCTTGAATGATAATATTAAGTCCTTAAAATGCCCCAGGAATTTTAGGCGTCATCTTGCAAATGTTTTATTAAGTTGATATATTTTTTGTAATTATAATATTATTGTACTTACATTCTTAATTAATTTATATAAATTTGTATTTTTTATTCTATTGAGCTGAAAAGCCCACTTAGGGAGCATCAATAAAGTGTATGTATGTATGTATGTATGTAAACTGTATACAATACAATCAGCTGGACTAGCTTAACCAAACGTCCGCTACACAACCGTTTTTTGTGTCGTCGGGGAGGAGCGTTGCGTAATGACTCTAAAAGCGGCTGTGTAGCAGACTACTTGACCAGAGGGTACATTGTCCTTTGGGGAAAGGGTTCTAATTTTTGACTTTAAAGGGACTGGTTCACGATAATGCGCATGTGTGAGTTCTGACAGTAGCTGATTGTTTTTAAACCAATCGGAAGCGAGTTAGATGCACGCAAGTAAATTTACAAAATTCAAATTCATTGTTCGCGACGCGAGAGTATTTCCGGGCATTGGGTTTGATTTTATATATCCCCATAATTGAAGTTTATTCTTTGCTACTCTTCAAATATATGTTGCAGCCGATAAGAATAAGATTTACAGCCCTGTCCTGCTTTGAAACAAACATTTACCAACGTGTATTTTTACGAGGTCGTACCCACGCCAACAAAGCAGTCACAGTAGTGGGGGAGGCACCGAATTAACTTTTTGAGCGGTATAAATTAACGCAGATGACGTTATGCATCTCATTAAGATAGGATGATGTTATAGTTTATTTTTAGTTGGAGAAGGGGTTGACGTCATCAAAAAATGTTGAGATCATAATCTATAAATAGAAAAGTGAGTTTTTGATATAACCAGCTATTTGCTATCTTTGCAGATTATACTAACTGAAAAATCTTTAATCATTAAATTATTTCACTAAAAATCGGTTATAAGCAAAACCAAGACACAGAGGTAAACTGAAAAATCTTTACCTTAAAAGAAGGAAAAACGAGGTTGGGCGTATGCGGAATCGTACAAATTCTTTTCGGGCAAAACATGAAAATGAGGTCGAAGCGCAGCGAAGCGAAAAACTGCCTATCAAGCAAAAATGTCAATCTTTGTTTACTTGACTCTGTAGAAAGTATTGCGCAGGGTATAAAAGTTCTATAGAAAACAACAGGTGGTTCTTAAATAAACTCCATTCTACTAACTAATGCAAAAAAAAATTGGAATAAGAGGTGCAATCGCCTAGCAACCCATGTCTTCTTACTTAACGCTAAAAATCGGATGTATAAACAAAACACACACACACAGATGCACAAAGTGGAGCTGAAAACTCCCTATTTCAATTTTGACTCACCATTACAAACTATATAAGGCAGCGTGGCCGAGTGGTCAGCGCGTCGGACTCGCAATCCGGCGGTCCCGGGTTCGAGTCCCGTTCTGGCCACTTGCTGGATTTGTGCTCGGTCGTCCCAAGTTCAAATTCTCGGCCACGCTTGTAAATAGCCAACTGGTTGCCTTCTGCTAGTTGGGGTTTTTAATCCTGTTATGTTGTATTTGAATTATTTGTCTCTAAATATTTGAGTGGAGTGCCTGTAAATTAGCTGGACAAGCTAAGTGCAATTTCCACTATAAACAAGCCTTTAACCTTTTAACCTTTTAAACTAAAGCGTTTTCTCCGGTCCATCTCGAGGAAACGACTAACCATTGAAGTCTCAGCGCTTGATGAGCTTATGGTCTTGTCAATTCCCCAGCGGCGTTAGTCAGTTAATTATGCGAGTTCACACGCCCAAACTTGAATACAAATTAGTTCATCTCTACAGCTAGACCCAAGGGAGAAACTTGACTTATTATTATATATTTTAAATAACTTAACAAGGATCAATTAAAACACGCAACTAATAATGGCTGGCAATAAAACCACAAGACAGATACCGTTTTAAAAACTTTATTAAAAACCAATAACAAAAAAAGAGTCAAATACCCAGCGATTTGAAAGGAAAAGGAATGAAAATTAATCCTTTGACTGACTATTACAAATCCGTTTTCACCGTTTCTTGTGTCTGTACTGGATTGTGATAGTGATTTTTTCCGGAATTATCCGCTTCACTGTCGTAAACGACGACTTTAACTTTAGGTTGCAGTTTCGCCTCTTGTAAATACTGTCTTCGCTGTATGTGGTCTAACTGATGAACATCCGCGAGATGGCTAGCTAATCTGACAAGGTACTTCGCCCCACACGATGAAATAGGACAGTTTCTGCAAACTCTCTTGTAAACCATGTTGACAGTTCGATGGACGAACACAAATGACATCTTTTTCGCAAATAGTCAGGTTATATAGAGTGTCAGGAAAGCCAAACACAGGCCAGAGAGGCCATAACCAGGCCTGAAAGGCCAAAACCAGGCCAAAAGGGACAAAAGGAGACAAACGGGCCATTTCTAGTCATGTGTCTTTATTTTCTCAAACACACGCGTGGGTGTCGCGCGTCGCTAGTCACGCAACAGCTCTCAACATTGGAATCATCATCTTTATTCGGTGTAATCAAGAGAGAATGAAGCATTCTCTCTTGGTGTAATCACAAATAACAGTGCCTAATTAAAAAAGTTTTGATCGTGAATTAGTAATTGGTATTTCAAATTTCCGATTTTTTTATTTATTGTATCAGTTTACTATTATTGTTATTATTTTCAAGTCAGCAATAAAACACTCTTAAAGTTTGGTTGTTTACAGTTTTTATTGAAACGCAACAATACAAAGGTCTAGGAAAAATAATTCTATAACGTTCATAGTTGTACAAGTCTTCATCTTGAGGAATAAGCTGCTTTTGATACAGTCGATTGAGTAAGAATTTTCGCTTATCGATCGCTAGTTCTGTCGATTCCAACCAATGGAATCCTTCTGTACCTTTTAGTTCTTTTTGGGTTTCAATTACTTCTTTGAAGGTGGGATCTTTTTTCATTGCACGCATCCACTGTAGATTCTCTAAGGGTACTTTTCTTAGCTCTTTTCTGTAAACAGGAAGAAGTGCGTTCTTGGCTTTCACGCGGGCCACATTTTCTGAATCTCCGTTCCCTTCGTACACATTGATCAATGCGTTGAGCTGGGTCTTATGGCGTTTCTCGGCTTCATCAAGAATGCGTAAGCAAGGCGTTAAGTTTTCTGTTTCTTCTTGGGAAGACTGCGCTTCTTGGCTAGAGACTTCGCTTTCTTGGGAGAAATCGCTTTCTTCGCTGTCTTCATATTTTCCAGCTCTTTGTTGAAGGTATAAGGTATAGCCTGTGCTCGTCATCTTTGGTTTGAACCGCACGCCTTCTGATAGGAAACTAAACTTCAGAAAGCAACGCGTCTCTTTTATAGAAAATTCGTGAAGGCAGGGTTTGATAACTTTTTTAATTAGGCACTGTTATTTGTGATTACAACAAGAGAGAATGCTTCATTTTCTCTTGATTACACTGAATAAAGATGATGATTCCAATGTTAAGAGCTGTTGCGTGACTAGCTACGCGCGACACCCACGCATGTGTTTGAGAAAATAAAGGCACATGACTAGAAATGGCCCGTTTGTCTCCTTTTGTCCCTTTTGGCCTGGTTTTGGCCTTTCAGGCCTGGTTATGGCCTTTCCGGCCTGTGTTTGGCCTTTCTGACAGTCCATATAACCTGACTATTTGCGAAAAAGATGTCATTTGTGTTCATCTATCGAACTGTCAACATGGTTTACAAGAGAGTTTGCAGAAACTGTCCTATTTCATCGTGTGGGGCGAAGTACCTTGTCAGATTAGCTAACCATCTCGCGGATGTTCATCAGTTAGACCACATACGGCGAAGACAGTATTTACAAGAGGCGAAACTGCAACCTAAAGTTAAAGTCGTCGTTTACGACAGTGAAGCGGATAATTCCGGAAAAAATCACTATCACAATCCAGTACAGACACGAGAAACGGTGTACTGCGAACTGTTAAGATCATAGAGAAATGAAGCCTCTTTTAAAGCAAAAGCTAAAAGACCGACTACAAAGAACAAGACAAAGCGCAAGAAACAAAGAAAGTCGAACTCTTGGCTTAGAGGCCATAGGAAGATTGTGTAGACACGGAAGAATTATTTATTATTCCTCGAAATAGAACGGAAAAAAAAGATTTGTAATAGTCAGTCAAAGGATTAATTTTCATTCCTTTTCTTTCAAATCGCTGTGTATTTGACTCTTTTTTTGTTATTGGTCTTTAATAAAGTTTTTAAAACGGTAGCTGTCTTGTGGTTTTATTGCTAGCCATTATTAGTCGCGTGTTTTAATTGATCCTCTTTAAGTTATTTAAAATTGTTTATATAATAATAAGTCAAGTTTCTCCCTTGGGTCTAGCTGTAGAGATGAACTAATTTGTATTCAAGTTTGGGCGTGTGAACTCGCATAATTAACTGACTAACGGCGCGTGGATTGACAAGACCATAAGCTCATCAAGCGCTGAGACTTCAATGGTTAGTCGTTTCCTCGAGCTGGAACGGAGAAAACGCTTTAATTTGTAATGGTGAGTCAAAATTGAAATAGGGAGTTTTCAGCTCCACTTTGTGCATGTGTGTGTATGTGTTTTGTTTATACATCCGATTTTTAGCGTTAAATAAGAAGGCATGTGTTGTTAGGCGATTGCACTTCTTATTCCAATTTTTTTTTCATTAGTTACTAGAATGGAGTTTATTTAAGAACCAATAGAGTTAGGGTTTATTTTAGAACCACCTGTTGTTTTCTATAGAATTTTTATACCCTGTGCAATACTTTCTACAGAGTCAAGTAAACAAAGATTGACATTTTTGCTTGATAGGCAGTTTTTCGCTTCGCTGCGCTTCGACCCCATTTTCATGTTTTTCCCGAAAAGAATGTGTACGATTCCTCATTCGCCTAACCTCGTTTTTCCTTCTTTTGAGGTAAAGATTTTTCAGTTTACCTCTGTGTCTTGGTTTTGTTTATAACCGATTTTTAGTGAAATAATTTAATGATTAAAGATTTTTCAGTTGGTATGATCTGCAAAGATAGCAAATAGCTGATTATATCAAAAAAATCACTTTTCTATTTACAGATTATGATCCCAACATTTTTTGATGACGTCAATCCTTAGGGTATTCTGACGCCACTTGCTCCTTGCCAGCTGAAAATAAACTATGACGTCATCATATCTTAATGGAATGCATGACGTCATCCGTATTAATTTAAACTATGACATCATCCTACCTTAATGAGATGCATGACGTTATCTGCGTTAATTTATACCGCTCAAAAAGTTAATTAAATCCACAAAAGGTTAATTCGGTGCCTCCCCCACTACTAGTCACCGATCGGCAAACAAAATTTGTAAACAAACATTTTATTACTGTTCTCTCAGTTCGCCGTATGAGTATAAAGATTATCCTTAATTGAGCATACATTTCAATTGCTTATCAGCAAATGAACAAATTCATTGGCGTTGCATCGGGTCAGTGTTCCGCAAAACAAATGTTATCGAGTAGAACAAATAAAGAAACTAGATTATAAACAGAATATTCAGGCAATAATTTATTTTAAAAACATCAATTCTTAAACATATACGATCGTAAAGCAAAGGTACAAGGAACATTTCAGCTGTCCCAGATCGGTGAAGATCGTGCGGCCTGTTGTGGTATAACTACAAGTCGGAGTCGTCAAAAATCAAATCAAAGTTGAACGGACTCGTGCCTTTAACAACTTTCCAAGTGTCGTGTATTCTTTTTGTAAGCCACACACTACTCCTAGATCCATACCAGATCGATCGGCTAAGCTTCTCTATCTCCAAGACTCTTGAGAACGTCCAGTTGCCGGACGGCCACGATGCTCTTCTGAACCTCCATGATCAAAACATTATTTTTTGCGTCTTCTTAAAACGTAACCAGTCAAACAACACAACCACACGTTACCGAAGTACAACTAGTATAACTAGGCCAGCCAAAGCGACGGATGTCGGAATAAAACGAAGGATTTTCAATGATTGTACCGGTAATGGTGATTTCGAATTTAGTGTTGACTCAACAAATTTATTCTGAAGAGACAAACGGCGCGCATGCGCATAACCGTGATCGCGTCCCTTTAATAGCAAATTTGATTTTAGTCGCTTATCCCACATTGGCGGTTCTCTGGTCTTCTCCGTTTGAAAGCCTCGGAGATCATGGCCTAAAATCCCGGACATGGCGCCCGCGGAACGGCAGCGGCTATCTCGTATTTCCAAAACAGAGATGGTGATTGCGTCTATAAAGAAATGTATGAGGTAAAATCTAATATTTGAGCTTATGATAACTTCTAGCGTACCTGTATAATTCCAAGTTGGAATCGATCAGGTGAAAACATCCTCAATTCCGCTGTACAAAATGCGTATCTTCACCAGTTCGCTAACACCGTACATTTTAAGCGTGTTTTGAGTCGTTCTCTCGCTCTTAAAGCCCCTCTATTTTCTGTGGGAAGTTGTTGTAGCGGCAGTCCTCCACCGCAGCTGTGCAATTTTCTTTTCAAGTGGTCGATTATTCCAAGTTCATCCAAATTTTCACATTCAGAACCATTTCACTCCGCTTAATCAGTAAAAGGATGAAGAAATTCCTAACACAAAAACACCAGTATAATGCGAAATATTTATCAGTCATCCTAATTTAATGATAAAAATGCTTTCACGAATTTTGTTCCAGATTTCTGCCTAGGCAAAGGCATATGCATATGCGGGTACATGCACACTCCATTCCTGGTAGTAGAAATAGTTGATAGGTTCCTGGACCAAGCTTTAATTTTTTTTGTCTACTCTTGAAGAAAACGTGGAATTGCTTCAATTATAATATGGGTTTGACAACTTTTACATAAAATGCCAGTCCTGTGTGTTAAAATTTCGACCCCACTCACATTTTGTGCATTTTCAAAATTGACAAAAATTGTATCCCCCCCCCCCCCCCCCCCCCCCCCAAAAAAAAAAAGGCCCCCCTAAGGGGGGGAGGGGGAAAAAAACCGCGCGCCTTGTGAAAAACACAGATCACGGTGTTTTGGGGATTGCCGCCCGCTCCTCACGTGGAAAAAAAAATTTTTTTACTCTTGTATTAAAAAAAACGTGGAATTGTTTTAATTATAATTTTGGTTTTACAACTTTTAAAAAAAAAGCCACTCCTTTTGTTTAAAATTTCCACCCCCCCCCCATTTTGTGCATTTTTAAAAATTACAAAAATTGTTTCCCCCCCCCCCCCCCACTGCGACGTAAAAAACGATCGGTCCCTTAGAGGGCAAGATGGCAAAATACCGTGCGCTCTTGGAACCAACCAGATTGCAGGATTTTGGAGGATTCCGCCCGCTGTCAAGCTTGGAAAAAAAAATTTTTTACCATCTGGTCGCAAGATTTAAAGAAACTCAAACCCTTATTTAGCAGCAATAAAGAGGATTACGCTTCAAAAGAGGTCAAGTAAAATGCTCTTGCATCAGAGGGCAAATCCTGTCGACCAGGAACAAAAATAAAACCACAGAAAGTCAATATGCCTGCCATGACCTCTCAGTGTAAAACAAGCGGCTAAAATCTCATTTGGTCAGTCAAAACGTACATAGAACCCCCTAGAGCATAACCTACCCGCCAGGGGAAAAAACCTATTGGAACAAACAGCATTTTGGCCTGAGGTAAATTCGTGTGGCTTACCGACTCCTTTTTCACTATGGCTGTAAGCGATTAGCGCCAAAACTTGAATGCATGGCACTCTTGAAAAGCAGGTTATTTTCTAACTCTTTTCTTTGTCTTTTTATTTTTTTGAAATCTTTGTTATCATGATGAGTTAACCGTGTTGAAATAAAGATGTTTTATCATTCATTATTACAAGTAGCATTATTATTCATACGGCGAAGCTTAGCGCAGTGGCCAAAAAATCCTCCACACATAGGTGAACGTATAATGTCAAAAAGTGCTGAACATCCAGGCATTTGTGTTAATGCGTGAAAGGCGGGAAGTTAAGCGCAAGAAGATAAAAAAAAAGTAATTATAAATGATAACAAATAAATCGACGACATTTTTGAACCATCGATATTCTACCCTCGACCCTCGATATATTACCCTCGTCCCTTGAAATTTTACCCTCGACCCTCGACAAAAACCTACACTCCTTATGTTTTAGAGGTGAGAGACGAAGCGAAAGGGGAAATGAGTTAATAATTGACAATCAAAGCCTTTGTTTTTGTCGCATATCGTATTTGTCCTTTGGCACCGGGACTCAAGAGACGGTCACTGCAATCGTCAGGGGCACCCAACGACGGTTTCCTCCTAAATACATTGAAAACACTTTTTAGGCTACCCAGAGTACTTTTAGATCTCTAGAAGTGCATTTTAAGCAGCGCTATAAAATTTGCATCTGTTCGGTCATCCTAGGGCAACTTAAGTCTTTTCGAAACTATTAGGGCTTCAGTACTACTTTCCCGAAAAATTTAGATGTAATTTAACGTTTTAAGAAAGTGAGAATTTTTTGAATTCCTCTTTCCATAGCATTTTTTCATCCGAAAATTTTAGGTTTCCGTTTTACTACGAAAAATAACTAAACCTGGGGTCGAAGTGTGAAAAATTAAACTTTAGAAAATCGTAGGGAATTTATTCGCTAAGCTTCAAAAATTGTACACAGATGGAACAGTCACTTAGAAACATTTAGCCGTCCTCAAGTAATAGAAAATTTTAGGCAATATTTGCTTCTCCGAACAGATATTTTACAGAAAACAGTTGTTGGGTGCCCCTGAATCGTGTAACTAATAATTCTCAACCGACAACTGAGATATCAACCGAGGTAGGTGACACTGTTTTCGCCGAGCGAGGACATCAGAAGATTATAAAAGTTATCATGCTGATTAGAATTACCGAAGAAAGTGTCAAATTTATCGAAACTAAGTCTATCCAATCAAACTTAAAACTTAGAATATGAGCTTACATACCTGAATAAACAGATTCACACTTCATAACATTTCACTTTGGCTATTACGGTCAGTTTAACACCTTAATTTCGAAGTTTAGACTCAAGAATCCCGAAATGGACAATAAACAAATCTGCTGGCAAGACCCTTGATGATCACTTTGCAAGTTATGAAAACATCGCTTGGATTAATTTAAGGGAATGTTTGGGGAGTAGCCTCGAGCTTCTCCCCTAAATTTAACAGTTCCTTTTGATACTGTTTTTGTTTCTGTTCAGAGTTAGCTCTGAAACACCAATAACAATAGCAGTAACAACAACAATGGTTATTTCTTGATTATACTTTTTACAGAAGTGTACGGGCCCGCAGGTAGCTGGTGCTAATCTTGGCGGGCCGGTCAATTAAAGTGTAAGGAATTCTTTTTATACGGAGCTGTATCCGCTCGTTCTGAAACAGTTCAGGCACCTGGTATGTCCGATAAAAGAAAGTGTAAGAGCCTATTATCTGCAGAGCGAAAAAAATCCAAAAAAAATCATTCGACAGTCGTTGACACCAAGATAATACATCGAGTAGGGTTTAGTGTATGGATATTGGTCAGACACTTGTTTTGAGTTAGGTAGGAAAACACGACTTCTTGAAATTATCTACTTACTTTTCAGTGTCGTGTGGGTCAAAAGTCAATAACACATTGAAAAGTCCTGCATACTCAGATGGCTTCTATGCTGGCAACATGAACTGCAGTTACAATGTTTCGATTCCAGATGGTAAGGCGCTGAGACTCAAGTTTCAAACATTTGAACTGGAGTCTGATTCAGAATGCAGGTAGGAATAAATACGTCTGGCTTGTCTTTTCTAAGCTTTAATATTGTGATGAAGGGAGAATAACTTGCCTGGGAGAACATTTTGAAAGAGACTTTAATGTCCATTCAACTGTCATAACGTCATTTTCTTCTATTTCGGTTGGGTCAAAAATTGGCAAATTAATGCAGGGAAGGCTTCCCTTGACCCATCGGATTTATCTTTAATTTCTTCTCAAACGAACATCCGAAGCGAAGCAGCGAGCAAGAGGAGAAAAATAAACCTGGTGACCATCGTACCGAATCTCTCATTCAGCCAGGCGCCTGGGTCAGGATATGACCCTCGGGTTCTGACTGGTGGGTATATTAACCACTGCGAGATCCAATCTTATTGGTTCTTGCCATTGGATTTAGCGAGGGGACAGAAGTAGGGATATTTGTTATTTCGCAGCAAGGTATATTGATAGACATTTTCTTGTAGGATCGATTATTTGGTAATAACGAATGGTGTTACAGAAGTTCGATACTGCGGTGACCTCACAAGAAGAGACCTTTTGATATCCGGAAACTACGTTGAATTAACGTTCCACACGGATTGGTTGCTCGAGAACAAAAGAGGATTTGAAATATTCTTTACTGAAGAAATTCCCGGTAAGTTTACAAAGGTCACAATTTGGCATATCTCCATTTAAGTACGGTCTATTACAGAATGCTTTATGACCGGAAGACACGGAAGATTCTTCACAAGAATAAACGTGGGAGGGATTTTAGGCGAGCAAGTAAAATGTAAATGACATGGCAAAAAAGGCGTTCTTCCTTCAAAACACTGACTTAGGTTTCTGCCCCAGTAAAGATGGTAAAGGGTACATAGCTTATGGAATAAATATCTCCTCTCGTCTTCCTCAGTGTTGTGGCCGGGCTTCCCTGTTCCAACTCTTGAAGTGCTTTTATTAGTAGATAGCCGCACGCACAGCAACGAAAATGACAACAGCTCCAATTACCTTTCAGTACTTTGTCCACAAGGCTGGAATTCAAGTTTACATGGCGTATGTTACAAAGTCTATTCCAACCATTTGGACTGGAAGTCAGCAAATTCCGCGTGTATAAAACTGGGAGGAAACCTCGCTGTATTTAATTCGTATGCCAAATTACAAGAATTTCCTGAAAATGCATTCGGCGGCTATGCATGGATTGGTTTACGAAGAGATCCTGAAGACGAGAAACACTGGTTGTGGGTTGGTGGGTCACGCCCTGCTTTCGCTTCCTGGATTACTGGGGAACCAGTCAATCCGTATATCGAGGATTGTGGGGGAATACTTTTGCCGTCAAGGAAATGGAATGACTTGACTTGCAAGTACCCTCTTAGATACATTTGTGAAATCAATGGTACGTACAACTGCCTTCATTCCTGCAATCATAGTCAATAGTATTGGGAAGGTTACTACTTTTTACCTCATTTGTTTTTTGTTCTTTTCCCCGCCCCCTGGCCCAATGTTGTAGAAAACTAAAGTGTTTTTACGCGTAATAGACCAATTTCGATATATAAAAAATCAAACTTGGTTCCGGGTTGTACAATCTTCCCAGTTACTTTTGTCCGTGATTATAGCTTAGAAAATTTCAGAAAGTAATATGATATGCATTTCGCTACAGATCGCCAGTTGCCCCTAGAGTGTTATGATCTAGTGGCTGTGCTAGGTTATCCTATCACCTTGTATGGTAGTCTCCCTTATTAAAAAAATGGGGGTGCTTGGAGTAGGGGGGGGGGCTGATGATCGCAATCATGTGGTTAAGTCTTGGACAAACAACTTGACATGCCATTGTTCTGGCAAAGCTACATTTCAAGGAATAAAACATCTCCATGAAGCAAGACGCAATCAATTTCTTCACACCTCTATTGGTGTAAGTAAGGCAGACAAAATCATGAAAATCTCATGTTGTCCTCGAGATTCATCATTAAACTGATAGTCACCTTGATGAAATGAATACTTCCCCGGAAATTTAGAAACATGTTAGCAATCGCAAAAAGGGCCGTTACCTTTCACCTCTTATGAATCTCTGAACGACTAGCAACACGTACAGTGTGGAATGGGTAGGAATTATTGACTTTGACGTCACATAACAAAAAAAGTCAACTTGCGCTTGTCCCGAATCTGACATCCATAAAATCAAGAATTTTCATTGCTAATATGGCGTGTAACACCACTGACCTTCTTAAATAGTGTCTGGCTTACTCATGCTCGCCATTAATTTATTTTTCTTGACTGTGAGATGGGGCAGAATTATCCCCCTATAGTTTATGTACAATCTGAATAATATCAAATACTGCCTTCTTGTGGTCCGTTTCGCAATTGCGTGCTACGGAATTTAACGCCTTTCCAGATACGCCTGGCACCTTTTTCTTTAGTACATCTACCATTGTTATTTTTCGGCTCGTCAGTTTATTTCCAAATATCCCTCACACTGAAGTTCCACTTTTTTTAATATTCCGTTTTGAAGCAGATTCAGCATAATTAAGAATACCGTAAAATTCCGAAAATAAGCCTCGGGGCTTATATTTTTCAAAGACCCTTTTTGAGGGTCTTTTTTTGGAGTGGCGTATAATTATTCGGAGGGGCTTAACTACGAAGGGAAATTTGCGTTTCAAAATCGATTGGGCTAGCCTTATAGTTGGAAGTAAATTTACCGTTTTTGCTTTGTTTTACTTTGTATCTGAGGGCATTTTTCTAAGTATACGCCCCCGGGGGGGGGGATTATATTCGGAGGGGCGATTTAACGGAGGATTTTTTGCGTTACCGGTTTGGGGGGCTTATATTTGGAGGGGCTTATACATGGAGGGGCTTATTTTCGGAATTTTACGCTATCAGGACAGTCAATCGAAGGGTGGGCCGGAAACTCTAAGAACGGCTCACAGGATTGGTTTAGAAAACAATAGATATCCCTGACCCAAACAAAACTAACAATGAACCCCAACTCTGAAACAATAGAGCTTTGGGCCAACAAGAACCTAATTAGAGGTTCTGGCCAACAGCAATCGAAGCTGTACTTAATAGTCAATATAAGTGTTGACTGTGAATCGGTGGAGTGAAACATTCTTTCGTCTTATGTTCTTTTGGTTTGTTTTCATAACCATAACAAAGTTGATAAAGCCAAATTTTTGCATCCTACTCCCTCAAGCGAGGAGCACCACAGTTTTTATTTTATTTTATATTATATTTATTTTTCTTTATTTTCTTTTTTTATTTTGTTAACAAAACTCATCTTTCATTTGTTGTAAAGCAGAAACTCCTAAAACCAGTACAACAGTAAAGAGATAATTAGCCAAGAAAGTACAACCTCGTTACTTAACATATTTCAAAATAACAGACTTTCACGTTCTTGATCAATCGCCAAAGACCGAAGACTTAGACTTAAAAAGAGCTCTATTGCAGTTATTAAAACCAGAATTCACATTATATTGACCTCTCCTAACCGTAAATCTGGTGCCCAAATTGTAATATAAAAGACTTGTAAAAAGCATTCTCTGAGTAAATTTCATTTCATCTTTATGCTGATGATACCAGCATAATCTTTGCGAATAGCAATCAAAGACAAACTCGGTGAACCGGAAGGAAACTTCGAAATGTCCAATGAAAGTAAACCCATGACTGCTGCATCAAACTTAAATCTTAAATGAAGATTAATCGAATTAGTTACTCCTCCGCCCACCCTAAAAAGTTCTTAGTAAAAGAACCTAACATAGATTGTGGATGAAACTTGGTGCACTGATGTAACAAGTCAAGACGTGATAAAAAAGTACGCAATAAAAAGTTGGGGTCACCATGCTCGTTTTCACGTCACAATGCTGAGAAATCATGACGGCTATTTGGGACCCTTTTGGACCGCGCGCAGCCCAAAACTAGACAAAAAGGAAAAATTTTTTTGATGATGCATGTGGCATCGCACAGAATTTGACTTGAATGTATTGTTTAAACCCTTACGTACATTAAAAATTCCCTTGTTTTTACTTTGCGCTCCAAAGAAGACTTAATTTGGACACTCGCTGTTCGACCCGTTATAGCTCAATCCGTACACTTTAATTAAATTTCCAAAACACAGAACATAGATTTATGCCAATTTTTTTTCTCATTGAAAGGAAGCACTGTTCTTACTAAAATCATGAAACAAAAAGTGGGGGTCAGCGTACTCGTTTTTGCGGTAGAGCTGCAGAAAGTGCGCACCAAATGCATTTCCTTGAGATGGGACTAGGGCGAGTTTCAAAATGGCATGTATGTGAAAGGGTGAAGAAAGCATTAAAAAATCAGTTTTACAGAATTTACATCGAGATATCACAGTTAGGACGCAATGTGATAAAGATGGCGCTTAAATGAAATCAAAGTGAGTTAGCACAAGTTAACATCCACTATCGAGGTTCTTCGTGAGGAAGTCGAACTCAGCAACACGCGTACTGCTTACGTAATGCACATTCCTAACACATTGAGTCTCATCTCGGCAAGAAACAACCGCAAACGAAAATTTCAATAGCGTTTCTCTTCAGTCAACTTCATTTTAAAGCTTTTTAATAATATTACTTCAGATGGTATTTTTCACGGCGGTTATCTTGTTATACGCAGTAAGAGATGCGCAGAGCAAAACCAGCGAATCACCTTAACAACCTTTTCAACCAATTATTAGACTAGTTCACTACTGTTCACAGTCCCTTACTTTTTCGTAAGATCGTCGAGATCAAAGACTTTGCGTTACGGGCGGCAATCTTGGTTTCATATGTGCCGAACACTCATCCTAGATGGCCGCCCGTAACGCAAGGTCTTCAATCTCGACGGTCTTACGGAAAAATACTAGGGATTGTAAACAGTCTATTCCAATTCCGAAAACACATGTATACTAGAAATGGAGCATTATATCAAAAAATATATATTTAGGTATATTTTTAAAATCTATAGTCTTTCATGGACCCGGACTACCATATAGACCATCTGTGTCAAAAAACTGGTAAAATACTGGAAAATAGCGCTAAGCTTCGACACTTTGTCCCACGACATGTATTACTTACCATACACTACTCACTTATTTCACCATATCTGCACTATGGTATTTTTGCTTGGGGCCAGTGTGCACAGACTCATCTCCATAAACTGTTGCAGATATTGCAAAGACGAGCAATGATATTCTGATATTCTTCATTTCAGCGAGAGAGTATTCAACGCCTATGCTCCATTAGCCATCTAATGTACATGTATGATGTACACAACAACCCATAGTACTGAAATTGAAAATATCCTCAAAATGTTTCAGAAAGTGTCTTACACTCACCAAAATCGAACTAGCTCTAAAACTGATAAAAAGAAATTTGTATGCAAAGTACAAGAACTGAGAAAATAAGAAATTCTTTTTCAAGATCTGGTGTCCAAAATTAGAATAGTCTGCCTTTGTTCTCTAAAAGTACTAAGTCAAACGTAATTCAAATCGGAATTTAAGAAAGTGCTCCTTGAAACCTTGAATATGAGGATTTTTATACTGAAGGTTCTGAAATTAAAAATATATCACCACTACTACCCAGTATCATAATCAAATATCCACAGCGATTGATTGTGTAACGAAACTAAATACTACAGTCTGTGCGTATGCATGAAGTTACAGCAACTCAACCAATTACCATAATTTTCTTTCTTTTGTTTTTGTCATAACCCCCCCCCCCCCCCCCCCCAAAAAAAAAAAAAAAAAACGCCTAAGCCGACATCTATGCATATTGATCTCACGCTTAGCCAATAACGCATATATCTTTGGTAGGTTGTCCTGAAAACTGGACTGCATTGCATGGCTTTTGCTACAGACTCTCCTTCAATAGCCTGGATTGGAGGGCGGCAAAATTTGCTTGCAAAGCACTGGGATCTAATCTCACAATGTTGAATTTACGAGTTGAGCAACAACACCTTCGTTGGGGAGAGAGGACTTGGATTGGTTTGCATCGTGATTCCAGTGATAAATCAAGCTGGTTGTGGATTGATGGCTCGCAAGCTGTTAACATGACCTTCGATTCTAATCAACCAGTAAACTTTAAACAACAATCGGAAGATTGTGTGTACATGAGGCCATCTGGGAAATGGAATGACCTGAACTGTAATGAGTCCCTTAGTTACTCTTGCGAATTGCCCGCAGGTTGGTTAAGAAACGTTATCATCATTGTGTATACTGCTGGGAGGAGGGGGGGAGGATATTTTTTAAAGGGGCAGAATTTTTAAAATCCTTCCCCCACGTCATACAGAATTTTTTCACAACCCCCCTCCCCCCCACCCGCCCCCGTCTTGACCAAAAGAAAAATTGACACCCCACCCAGTCTTGACGTCAATCTCTGAACGGTGCAGAGATTTAAAATAGAAAACTAAACCCAAAAAGGGACTGAATTCATATTTAGTCTATCATAATTATTAATATACAAGCCAAAGCTCAATTAAAATTGAATAAAGTTTATTTTTGGCTACGGTCAAAAAGTGATAGGAAAACAGAAAATAGCCTCAACAAATGCGTCAATGTTTAGCGTTGCACGGTACGGCCAAACCACCCCTCAAATATTGTATCATTAAGGCTAAATTTACTTATCTTTTACATTTCTTTTCATTTCTTGACCAAACTTGCCAGATAGACTACGATTGTTGACCAAATAATTTTAAGTTTTTGCTTGACGCAAAATGTCAAATTGTGACGTCACAAAGGCTGACGTCACCAAAATGGGTTAGATGCATTTTTTAATTTCAAAGTCGAATTTATATTATCTGAAAGAGCTTTTAGAACGGGAGTAAAACAGCGAAAACCGTTTCTCGATACGACACGTAAAACCCGAGTTATGGGACTTCAAAGAAATTTAAGTGCACCCCCTGAATCATACTTTTCCTTAAAAAACGATCCCTATGATATTTTTTCACAGTTTTCTGCAAAATAGGCTGATTTTCCGATAACACAAACCTTCAGTTAGCCAAAATCGTATCACTTTAGATTTTCGTTTTTTGACTCAAAAACACTAATTTAAGCAAACCAAAACATTTATCACGTGACATTTTATTACGTCACAAAACTGTTTTCTAGGTTTTTGCGCAGTTAGGGATTTCTTTTTTTCAAATTTTTCTTTTTCCTTTAACTTTCAACAGTAAAGTTGTGTTGTACTTAAATAGCAAGGGCCACTCGACAATAAAACTCTTAAAATCTAGACTTATTTTACGGGGGTATCCCGTTTTTGTGCTCCGAATTTATCCAAATTCAAAATGTCATTTATCAGCTTTGAGATATTGGAAAATTTTTTTCAGCTTTCGACTTCCCTTGAATATTCTTTCAGAAACGGTATAAAAAAATGGAAATTCAAAAGTTTAAAATTTACATATGAATGACGTCAGCAAATGTGACGTCATAAGTTGACATTTGGTGTCATTCTATGAGCCATTTTGATTGGCCTGATGTTACGTACTTTTTTTAGGCCAAGTTTGGCAAGGAAAGAGTTAAAGACAACAATTTTTTTCTAAATTAACTAAAATTGCCACGCTTTGATGAGTCCCTTGGGGGGTGGTTGGGCCCCTCCGTGTGCACGTTCATTTCGTGCTAACTTTGTTATTTCTCCTCCACCTTTAAAGGGGTTACGTGCCAAAACCTTTCGTCGATGAATGATGTGCGTATTTGGCCAGAACATTGTGTTTTGGACAACCAAAGGTACGGGTCAGTTTGCAATTTTTCCTGCGGCAATGGAAAACAAATTAGCGGCCCTTCATCTGCTCGGTGCGGAATAGGAGGACACTGGAGCGAGGACGTAAACAAAGTCATTTGTTCTGATGGTTTGTATTAGCCTAATTGTTGTTTCTTGCTTCTTTTTACCCTTATTAATGTTTTTCTCTTGACGTTCCAGAAAGTCATTTGTAAAAAGCTGTCGACATTAGTCAAAGAAGCAATGCAATGGAGATATTTCTCCTTTCTGCTATTAAATGGTGAACAAATACGGTAGAAGCAAAAACCCTTTCCAGTTGAACGCGCAGGGCCATATAATGACCGATCGGAGGCGGGGTAATGCCACCACGCGCTTATCACATACAGAATGGCACCATCTTTTCAACGCTTTCGCTCCGCATCCAATTATAGCACCGACGATTAAGTGGACGGCTATAAAGAGAACCGGAAATGAAGTCAAAAACTTTTGCGTTCGTGCGAGTGTCGCTTTCCTTACGTTTCTGTGTCGCCATAGCGCTTCGATTGGACGGCGAACAGAGTAGTTTGACGTACTAGCGACTAAGGGAATTTTAGTTGAGCGTTCTTTAACATTTTAATCAACTTTTTGCCCTATCATCGCAAAAAGTAAATACTTCTAACTTAAGTCATATTTTCAGACCAGTTTTCTTCAGAATTGATGAATTATTTTAGCGTAGTTATTTATTCTTTTTTGCCACGGGAGTCGATAAGACATGTCGGTTAAAGAGTGCCCCAAGAAAGTTTGTTAACTTTGTCTTGATTGTAAAGGCCTAAACTTTTGAATAAATTATAACCCAACGTTTGAAAGAGGGCCTTCGTTCTTTAATTCAATTATTTCAAGAATTTTAGCGCCCGCGCTTCAGGTGCTAACAAAAGGAAGTTAGATACGTATTTAAACACGCTCAGGTGTGTTTCAAGTCGTGAAAACGGATTAAATGTATTGAAGACATCTTCTCTCTTTGCCTGTTTTTGGAAAACAGAAAAAAAGAACCGATGCAAACCCTGACTTGCTATTTTTATTTGAGAAGAATTTTAGAAATGATTTTCTCTGAATCCTAGTTGAATAATAAAATTTCCTGTTTTCTTGTTTGTGGAAACATTTGAAGTATTGTTTTCTATAATCAGTAGTTTGTACACTATTTCTAGGCATCCCCCTTCTCTGAATAGCTGAAATGCTTTTAATATTTAAAACTCAGTATGTCTGTAGGGCTGAAATGGAGTGGAGTGGAGTGAAGTTAAGTGATGACCATGAAATGATGCTGTCTAGGGAAATACTCTGTACGCGGACATTTGACAATTTAAGAAACAGAAGAAAAGCCGTGCCCACAGAGGTGGACTCAGGGTTTAAGACAGCAAAGTCACTCAATAGTTGTATAGAGTAAAAGTTTACCAACAATTAAGCAAAGATCACTCAGAATGAGATTAACGCTAAAAGAAAAGAAAAAGGAAACAAAGAAGAGGATCGAGGCAATTAAAAGCAGCGGAACTTCAAGAAAATTTTCAGAATAAGACAAGTTATGAGAGGATATCACTGAGAAGGAGAAAGCTACTGAAGAGAGTAGGAATGCTGCAAATGCTACCGGGGGCTAAAGAGGGACAAGAAGCCAGGAATATCGGAAATTTTCGAGTTGCGATAATGGAATAATGCCCTTTTGGGGGTGGAATAATGGAAACATAGAAATTTCTGAGTAGAAATATTAAGTAATGCCCTTTTAAGGGGGTAAAAATGGAATAGAAAGACAGTTATCGAGAAGGAATAATAGAATAAAAAACACACCAATACTTCTCTCAACCCCCGAAAGTGCTCAGATTGATGACCAAGACAGAAAACATTTGAAAGACAGGCATTGAAAGGGTCGAGCCAGACTAATAAACGACAGGATTGAAGAGGAGAGGAAGCGGTGAGCACTAAGCGAAGGCGCAGAAGAGAAGATAAGACTATAAATAAAATGTCTCAAAGAATAAAAGCAAGGCAGAAAGAAAGGTACGAGAGCAAGAAATAGAAAGGAAAACAAGTAGAGGTGGCACAAATGGAACAGCAGGCAGCGCAAGGCCAGGCCCAGATGCTGGAGATGATGAGGGTGATGCAACAACAGCAACAGACCATGACAGCCTGCAGGTGTAACAACAACTGTTAATGAATTGCTATGCATTCTTTAAAAATCTACAGAAGCTATGATGTTGTTAATTGTTGTTTTCATTAGTGCTTTCAAATACCACTGAGTGCGAAATATGTCTTTTTTAAACAAATGAGCAGTTAGTGAGTAAATATACTGTTCATTTTAGTTTTAAACCATGTATGACTCTGATTGAAAAAATAAATAAAAAAAAAACTCGTTAAAGTATTATATTTATCATGGCATTTTCAATTGCAGGGTGTTAAACTTGTGTGAGAAAAGGTTACTTAATAGTCTTAATATTGTATGTTTAAAAGTACCTAGAGCCTAGGGAAGCATTGCAGTTATATTTACAGACCTGAGTGGATTGAGCTTGCTGACTGCTCAGCAATTTGAGGAAATGTTGTTATGGTCCTTTTGGCTTAGCAGGAGCCATTAAGTATTCATCTAATTGAATAATTTGTCGCCTTAGAAAGCTATTCGAGTATAGTTTCATCACTTTTGTCAACATTGATACTATTTACTGGTAACTTGAGAAACGGGTTTGTTCTCTGGCTATGGTATGTGATTCAGTCAAATAGTGGAGATAACTTTAAATAAACCATTAATGGGAATCCCACAAATGAAGAGTTTTTGTTCGATTACTGCCGTTCTATGCATGACAACAAATTGTCTTCTGTGTATGGCTACAAATAGCCCAGTTTACATGCCGTAAAGTCAATGACTATTTTTTTCGTNATCTAATTGAATAATTTGTCGCCTTAGAAAGCTATTCGAGTATAGTTTCATCACTTTTGTCAACATTGATACTATTTACTGGTAACTTGAGAAACGGGTTTGTTCTCTGGCTATGGTATGTGATTCAGTCAAATAGTGGAGATAACTTTAAATAAACCATTAATGGGAATCCCACAAATGAAGAGTTTTTGTTCGATTACTGCCGTTCTATGCATGACAACAAATTGTCTTCTGTGTATGGCTACAAATAGCCCAGTTTACATGCCGTAAAGTCAATGACTATTTTTTTCGTCATTGGAAGTCCCCATGTTTTGCGAGTCTAAAGTTACTCCTTTTTTTTTCAACGTCGGATTTGTGGTGACCGCAAGAGATGATGGGGCGAAGTCAAGGGGTTGAGTGGCCTTCATCGGATTTATGGTAACCTGAGTAATAGTATCAGTATCGAAGAGATAAACTAAACGATCTTCCCGTCAGCGACCTTGCAAACGCTAGCACATTGACACACTTTTGGATGACCGCTTGAGTATTACTGGCTAGTTAATCCTCTAGTCCCACTTCCCTTGGAGGATGACTCTCTGGTTTCCCGGAGGTCACCAAGCTTCGTGGTTACATAGTTTTGTGCAAGGTAAACCGCGCAAAAGCTTGTGGACCAGACGTTGCACCCAATTGGTTGGTGAAAGAGTACGCACAGATTTTGCATTCTCTATTACTAGAACCCAGAACTCCACCTTTGAGGAGCAGCGGCTGCCTAGTGTTTGGCGTTCGCCGATATGACACCAATCCCCAAAAAAATAATCTGCAAAGGACTTGTAAAAAAGATATACGTCTGATCACTTTGACAAGTTGTATCGCTAAGATATGCTGAGGACTTTGCGCTTTTGATCAAGTCAAGCCAGCAGCACTGCAAGTACTAGATACCAACCGTCCTATTTGGCGCAGTTCCGAGGCCGGTCCTCTACAACACTGACCATGCAAGAAGCTTTTCGCGCTTGGACTGAAGTCTAATAAAAACTAATGGAAAACTAATGGAAATTTTTCCACCATCATCCTGTTATGTTGTATTTGAATTATTTGTTTCTAAGTATTTGAGTGGAGTGTCTGTAAACTAGCTGGATAAGCTAAGTACACTTTCCACTATAAACAAGCCTTTAAACCTCTTAACCTTTTATCGGGACAATCCTCTTCAACTATAGAAAGGCTTTTGACTTGATCGATCATAGAAAGCTGATTTATAAATCTATAAATTAAAGTTAAGGTGACAGCCATAGACCCGCCTTAAATTCCTATGGATATGTGTTCAATGTTCACTCATTCATTTAATCTCTGGGACTGGGACGAATAAAAACAAACCCGTGGTACTGGGTAACACTCTGTCCTCAAAAAAGAGGCGGAATCGGAAGACATGATTGATGTTTGTGATGATTTAGGAATGGAGAGTTTCTTTGAGCATGTCTTAAACAGGACGGAGGAAATTCTTGGTGAGAACTCAAATGTAAGCAGTGAACATTGTATTTCAACCCATGTCGATCTCCTAGAAAGAACGGTAAATCCGGAGTACCCCCCTGGGTGCTGCACGTGCAAAACGGTGTTGTTCTGCTAAATAATACAAACCTTCTGCTTTTTTGCCCCTCTCGTTGCCTTTTTGCTTATTAATAAACGACAACGTCTGCCATTATTCTTGTTGTTGTAATTATTCCATTTTATTCTCCCCAAAGTATTAAAAGTAGCAATGAAAGCAATACGAAAAAGATAAAGATTACACACGATTCTATGTATTCGTATCTCAAAATATGTTTGATGGAACGAATCCTAAAAAGGCTCCCGTGTCTGTTTTGTTAGGAGACCCAGTATATGGCCGCTGGTTTCTAGACGGTAGTGATCCAGGTGTAAGGTTAGTAGAAGTTATACATATGTAGTTTGTTTGTTTGTTTGTTTTTTTTTAACCGATTTTGCGAGAACCTCTTATTTGATTCTTACTTTTTTCTAACTCTTAAAATTGTCTCATAACGTAGGATTATATTCGAGGGTAAAATAGTGGCCTGCATGTTCCTATGACAGGTAATTCTTATATTCACAGCTAGATACTATTCATTGGTCTTTGTGATCTTACAGGTATTCTGGTACCGTTAACCATACTAAAGGCTGGTGTCCTGGAAGCAAAGCGGCGACTTTCAGTCAGAATGGTTCCTATGCTACTGTGCCAAACATTAACATAACGACCTGTGACTTAACAATTGCATTTTGGGTAAAGTATAATGGTGTTGACGGGCCTATACTGGCACTTTGGACACAGGGTGGAAAACTATTTTACGTTACAGTCAAGAATTCCCGACTCATTTTATCGATACACAACACTTTCGACTTACAAATCAATTACTGGAATCACGTAGCGGTAACATGTCAGCTGCATAAGATCAAGGTGTTCGTTAACGGTAAGGAGGAGGCATTGAGAGACCAATGGAATGAGTATTTCTTCTCATCGTTAGGCCGTTATCAGCCAGAGTATATCATAGGGAATGATCCAGTTTTCGTCCAGATGCCAATGGCAAATGGGGTGTTTGTTGGAGCAGTCATGGATCTTTATGTGACTGGAATAGCTTTATCTGGGAAGCAGGTCTATGACCTGAGTAAAGGTTAGAGTAGTATATCTATTCGAGGATAAATCGTATACAGCCCGATCCTTAATAGGGGTCAGTTGGATGTTAAAAAATTGAATGTTCCTTTTATAGTCCTGGTTTTAGTCTTTTACAGATTGTGCTAGCGTAATTCGTCATAATTTTCATCAATGTTCCAAAAACTATAGTAATAATTTGCTCTTTTGGCTAGTTTTACAACTCAATATTGATCATGTTACCACTTATTTTGGCCAGAGAGCAGAATTACAGGCAAATCTAAGTAACGAAATAATTTTTTTGTCTGCTTATTGTCACATTCATGGGACTTAGGTCCCGCAGGAATTAATCAACGGTGAGAACTCTTTTTACAGGACTTAACGTATGCGCATAATTAGCTCGATTACTTAAGATGGTGTCAGCGAGCTGGTCGTTAATTCAGGTTTCAGTTTTTGTAGTTAGACAGTTTTGTAGGTTTAGTGGTCTACCTTTCTACATTCATCTATCACTGCAAATACATCAGTGGAAATCACTACGTAATCGCAGTATTATTCTCATTATTTAAAGGCAAACCATTTACACCCGTAATAACCAACGAAGAGTCGGAAATACATGGTTGCAAAGTCAATGTAACGTGGAGTAGAAAAGAAATATGCACCATAACGAACACCACTGTACGCTATAGGGAGATAAAACCACTCGTCATTGAAGCTAAATGGACAGAATATAAGGTTCCTTCAACCACCTTTCATCTTTTATCTCTGGAATGCGACAAGGGGTATGAAATTGGTGTGTCTTCCTGGTTTGGAGAAGTTCAAAGCGACTGGTCAGTTTCTTGGAAAGTTAAAACCCTCTCTACAGGTGCGATATNAGAATATAAGGTTCCTTCAACCACCTTTCATCTTTTATCTCTGGAATGCGACAAGGGGTATGAAATTGGTGTGTCTTCCTGGTTTGGAGAAGTTCAAAGCGACTGGTCAGTTTCTTGGAAAGTTAAAACCCTCTCTACAGGTGCGATATTACCTTATGTATGTTTAATAATAGCTTAGAGGTTTTGGTATTGACACCAAGCCATATCCAGTTGAACCTCTGCTGAGGGTCCACAATAGCCGGGTTCTGAAATCCCGCCTTCCCGCTGTTTTTTTCTTCTTAATTCCGCTATCCCGCCTGTTTTTACGTCCGAATCCCTATCCCGCCTAGTCTGCTACACAGCCACAACGTTTGTGGGGAGGAGCGTTGTGTGACGACACTAAAAATTGCTGTGTAGCAGACTAGATCCCGCCTAATTTTTTACGAGTTTCCTGCTTTCATTATTGAAATATTAAAACGTTATACAATGTTTAAGACTTGCTTTCTTGCAATAGGCAGCTTTGATGTTTTTAAGTCAAGAGCATTAAAAGGCTCTTGACTTAGCCATTAATAGCCTGGGACCAGACTCCGTAGTGGGGAAAAAAGGCAAAAAACGGGATCAATTTTTTTCTCCCTTTTCCCCCAAGGCGGAGCCTGATCCAAGGCTAAACCATTAACGACTGTAACTTCATTTTCTGTTTAGCTTATTATTATTTTGGGGGAGCACATCAGTACAAAAAAGAAGGTTTACTTCGATCTGCGTTATGGCCATTTGGAGACAGCCAGTTGAGTTGGGTAGATGGATGTTTCGATTGATTTACTACTAGGTTGCAATAGGCGATGAAGCCAATTAGCTACGCTGACAACTGGTCATGGAAAGTTTGTATGAACACACTAGTTGGACAGATTGATAAAATGTTAGCTTTTATGGAACCCAAACCTCCGATGGAATCGAAGAGCACAAGCAGCTGTAGACAACCCTCATGTAGAAAGTGTACTTTTCCACCCTTCTTGCGCTTGGTCCCCGATTTCTTCCTCGTTTGCGCCGCTACTTGTACTCATTCCTGTTTAAAATCTCTTTACTTTCTACCATTCTTAAATCCGCTCAAAAATAGGTACTTGTGACCTGCAATAGTTTGCAAAACAGTCCTCTTTTCTCACAATCGGTTTTAAAAGGTGCAAAGTACAGGCGAAGACTGTGTAAAATTAACTGCGTATTTTTTCGCGTCTCTTCCTAGTCTAATTCGTTTTTTTGGCCTCACTCCAGACCTTTCCCTTGGCCGTTCGAGCACAACGTCAGTTACCAAGTACCGGAATAAGACGAAAACACGCAAAGGTGATAATGGATAAAACTGATAGGCCTCATTTCCTTAGCGACTAGTAGTTCCTAGTACATGGGTGGTGTACACAAAAAAGTCAAAATGTGGTCACGACAAAACTTAATTCCCGTATCCCGCTACTTTTCCCTTACGATTCCCGCATCCCAACCCAATAAAAATAGGAAATCCCGCTTCCCGCTCCTTTTTTTAGCTCGCATCTCGAGTATCACCACCAAAAACATCCAAATCCCGCATCCCGCCAAACCTATTGTGGATCCTCTCTGCTAAGGGTAGACCTCTAGGGAAGTAGACACCCCCTTTCAGGTCCCTCAGAAGCCAAGTGGGCAGTAAAACAGATCAAGACGGAAATTTACTGCAACAAAGCCCTTTGATGTTCAATAACAATAAAAATGTACAGATTAGCCTCCGCTTACTGGAAGTTTACGGGTAACTTTTGAACTTTAAGCGACTGTTGTTCTGTAATAAATAGCCTGTCACGACGCTGTATGTTCATGGCCATCTTTAATTGGCCTGCATTTCTACATTTGGCAAATTGACGGTGAAACTGGCAAAAAGAGACCAATTTCAATATATCAAAAGTCACACCTTGGGGGAATAAAATAAAAGAAATGTATTATTCATTGTTGTACCTCAAGTATGAATTTGAATAATAAATTGTTCTATAGTATTTGACGTATTAATTTCTAATATCCAAACCACTTTCAGTAAAAGAAGTCAAAAAGCTTTTAAGAAAGGTTTCTACAAGAAAATCACGAAGTGTAAAAGCGGTCAACTGGTAATGTTTTCTTCCCCATTAAGGTTACGTTAACAAGGTACCGGTTGAAACATTTAAAGGGCACTTCGTTCACACGGAACTTTTCAATATTTTTGCGCTGTTCACACGGAGTTGTCGAGCCGTAATATTTCCAAGCAAAGCGAGTAATAACATGACTCGTGAATCCATGCTCGCAACATCTGGTTGCTATTTTGGTATACACTTCATGGTGGAAAGCCACAAGTGCACCGGTAATATACACCCTGTGTGATATGTAGTATTGTGTCTTCTCACTTATAGTCAGTAGTAGAAACTAGTAGTTACTAGGACTTACCTGTAGTTACTAGTAGTTGCTGGTAGTTGCTTAGTTACTAGTAGTCACTGGTAGTTACTAGTAGTTAAAGGTAGTTACTAGTAGTCACTGGTAGTTACTAGTAGTTAAAGGTAGTTACAAGTAGTTACTTGTAGTTACTAGTAGTTACTAGTAGTTACTGGTAGTTACTTGTAGTTACTAGTAGCTACTGGTAGTTACTAGTAGTTAAAGGTAGTTACTGGTAGTTAAAGGTAGTTACTTGTAGTTACTGGTAGTTGCTAGTAGTTACTGGTAGTTGCTAGTAGTTACTGGTAGTTGCTAGTAGTTACTGGTAGTTGCTAGTAGTTACTGGTAGTTGCTAGTAGTTACTGGTAGTTGCTAGTAGTTACTGGTAGTTACTAGTAGTTACTTGTAGTTACTAGTAGTTACTGGTAGTTACTAGTAGTTACTGGTAGTTGCAAGTAGTTACTGGTAGTTGCTAGTAGTTACTGGTAGTTACTAGTAGTTACTGGTAGTTGCTAGTAGTTACTGGTAGTTGCTAGTAGTTACTGGTAGTTACTAGTAGTTACTTGTAGTTACTAGTAGTTACTGGTAGTTACTAGTAGTTACTGGTAGTTGCTAGTAGTTACTGGTAGTTGCTAGTAGTTACTGGTAGTTACTAGTAGTTACTGGTAGTTGCTAGTAGTTACTGGTAATTACTAGTAGTTACTGGTAGTTGATAGTAGTTACTGGTAGTTGATAGTAGTTACTGGTAGTTACTAGTAGTTACTTGTAGTTACTAATAGTTACTAGTAGTTACTGGTAGTTGCTAGTAGTTACTACACCTTTTGCTGTTCATTACGAGAAAATACGCAATCATTTGCGTGAAACGGCGACCAATAGTGCGAAGATACATCCATTAGCGCGAAAATACGAACATTTGCGCATAAATCAGATTCAATTACGATTTTTGCATTTTAATCAACATTCAATAACACTTTTGGGCATTCATATGGATCATTGGGCATACAAAAGAGAAAATATACCTTCATTAACGCCAACATCAAAGTCATTAACACCATCTTGAAGTCAATAGGGACAACTGATATACATTAAAGTGCAAACACTATTCATTAACATTTTTATGACACTGTTTGCAATTTCCTGGACAATCTTAGGATGGATAAGACAGACATTAATGCCCTTGTACAATCAATTGAGTGTTCTTTACATTTAATACACAAAAACGATTTTCAATTAAACAATAGAAATTCAAACAAATTTGGCCAGAATTTCAGTCCGTTAAATGTAGATCCCTCAAAAACCTCGCTACCTAAACACTTTGGGAGGTAGGTTTGCATGAAATGGTACCCCTTAGCACATTTAGCTGCGGTCACAATGTCATGTTTCTGCGGAGAGCTTCGAGCACGCAGTTGTTGTTTCAGAACTCCGCTAGTGGGATTGCTAGGGCTTTGCCCTCATTCCTGTCATACATCTTTAAATTTCCGGACTCGAGATGTCGGCCTTTGGTGTCGCTTTCAGACAACTTAAATCCTTTTCAATGATGTCGAGGGGGAAAGCATAAGCTTTGTACTTATGGGGCGGGAATGGCCAAATCTAGGCGGGCTGGCACCCCGTCATACGCAAAGGCCACCGACTTATCGGGATCCATTTTTTCCTCGCCCGTGCCAGAAAAATAACCGACACAGTATTCATTACTCCAGCAGCTGCCGAGGAAAACATTTGATAGGTGATATTGCCATGGTCATAGTCAAGTTCCGTCCTCGTTGGCCGCACACTTAGCGGTACGCCCTCCACTTCCTGTCCCGCCCCACCATGACTTCTGGCCGTCTAGGGTAAATGTATACCCGCAGTGGCGAAGTACGGCGTGATTCTTTAAACAAATTCAGGCCAATTTTGGAAGGAATTGGTATTTTTTAATTGAAAATAGATTTTTGTATATTAAATGTAAAGAACGCTCAATTGATTGTACAAGCGCAATAATGTTTGTCTTATCCATTCTAAAGCTGTCCAGGAATGCTATTGAATTGCAAACAATGTAATAAAAATGTTAATGAATAGCGTTTGCACTGAAATGTTTGTGTATAGTCCATAATGATTTTCAAGATAATGTTAATGACTCGAATGTAGGCGTTAATGAAACCAAATTTTTCTCTTTTGTATGTCGAATGACGCAAATGATTGCCCAAAAATGTTATTGAATGTTAATTAAAATGCAAAAATCGTTATTGAACCTGATTTATGCGCAAATGTTCGCTTTTTCGCGCTAATGAATGCATCTTCGCGCTGTTGGTCGCCGTTTCACGCAAATGAATGCGTATTCTCTCGTAATGAACAGCAAAAGGTGTATTAAATGTAAAGAACGCTCAATTGATTGTACAAGCGCAATAATGTTTGTCTTATCCATTCTAAAGCTGTTCAGGAATGCTGTTGAATTGCAAACAGTGTCTTAAAAACGTTAATGAATAGGGTTTGCATTTAAATGTTTGTCTGTTGTCCCTAATGATTTTCAAGGTAATGTTAATAACTCGAATGTTGGCGTTAGTGAAAGTATATTTTTCTCTTTTTATGTCGAATGACGCAAATGAATGCCCAGAAACGTTATTGAATCTTGATTAAAACGCAAAAATCGTAATTGAATCTGATTTATGCGCAAATGTTCGCTTTTTCGCCCTAATGAATGTATCTTCGCGCTGTTGGTCACCTTTTCACGCATATGAATGCGTATTTTCCCGTAATGAACAGCAAACGGTGTAGTAGTTACTGGTAGTTGCTAGTAGTTACTGGTAGTTACTTGTAGTTACTGGTAGTTGCTAGTGGTTACTGGTAGTTAGTTGTAGTTACTAGTAGTTACTGGTAGTTGCTAGTGGTTACTGGTAGTTAGTTGTAGTTACTAGTAGTTACTGGTAGGTGCTAGTAGTTAGCTATTTTCCAGGTGAGTAACCACACATCCATGCAGCCACGCCTTTGCACTGCATTTTACATTCAAAACAGTAGCAAAAATGGTAACCAGTGTAGCTCGCGAAGCAAAGGCGTCACAGGGCTCGACTTTGGATCGCAATAAATTAAGCGATCACTAACATTTAGAGAACACATATTGTGTATAAATAGTAAATAAAAGCGGTCCGATACAAGAACATCGAGGAACACCCCATTTTAAGTCAAACGGCTGCGAGAGCGTCTCCTTCATGCATATTCTTTGAGATCTCCCTTCCAAGTACGATTTGAACCAGGAATGAGCAGTACCACAGACACCTAGTTTCCTTTGAAGCGTTTGTAGTAAAATCCCATGGTCAACGGTGTCGAAGGCGGCACTTAAATCCAGCAGTAGTAAAAGTGATACATGGCCCTTATCCATATTCATGAGTACATCATTTGTCACCTTTAACAATGCAGACTCCGGATTGCAATTGAGGGAGGAGATTATTTGTAATCATGTGACACTGGATCTGAGATGCCACCACACACTCTGTCAATTTAGACACAAACTGCAAGTTGTTTATTAGACGAAAATTCTTGAACTTTAGATCGAGGCCGGTCTTTTTAATGATGGGTATACCACAGCAGTTTTCCAGGTTTCAGCAAAATATCCAGTCTGCAAGGAGAGGTTGACCATATTAATAATGGTAAGATGGAAAGAAGGAGTCTAAACATGAAGATGCAAGATTTGTTCTTTCCAGAAGTAATCATATGACGAACTGTCTCAGTCGCTTAGCATTGGAAGTGGGAATTACAATTCACCAGATTCAGATTCCAGGTTGGGCTCGGGCGTTGACAGCAAGAATGCCGTCCAGCTTTGACCTGATATTGGTAATCTTGGCAATAAAAAACTGGCCCATATTGTTTCCAAGAAGTGAAACAGAATGTGTGGAAGAGATCGATCTTTCTTCATATTTAATAAACTCTTACTTACCGCGAACAGCCTCCTCTGGTCTGTGCTGTTATCTTCGCTAAACTGATTATAGTAAACAAGGCGTGCCTCATTCATCAAATTCACCACACGATTTCGTTCCTTCCTAAAAGCAGCAAGATCAACAGGCAATCTTGTAGCTCTCCACGTCTTTTCAGCATTTCGCCTCAGGCGTTTGGCATTCTTAATATCTTCATTGAACCACGCAGCAAGAGGCCTGACATTAATGTCACGAGTTAAGACAGGTGCATACATATCCAGTTGAGATCGTAACGACTCATTATAACAGCCGACTAGAGAGTCTAAGTCGTTAGGTGCATCATGATTAAGCTGAGAAGAAGAAATGGCCTCAGAAAATTGGTTGATTTCATTTTCCTGAACTGCACATCCGTGACATTAGCTTGAGGTCTATCAGATCTTATTTTACAGAAAACTGGAAAATGGTCGGAGAATAACACACCAATACAAGGGCAAGCTGCAGTGATGTTATCAGATGTACGAGTGATAATCAAGTCAAGTGTATGACCAATTGCAAGTTCATGTGTAGTAGACAAACATGCTGCGTGGGACCCATGGACTCCAGTATATCGGACAGTTTGATCCATATGGATGTTAAAATCGCCCAAAATTATCTTAGGGCTCACTTGACATGACCAGAGAGACTCGAGGTAATCGGTTAACGGCTCGGTGAAAAATGTGGATGTGGTCACAGGATGTTTAGCAGAATTAATATGGGGGCCTGTAAACTATAACGAGTCGTAAATGAGAAGTAGTTACTAGCAAACTTATTCTGTTTATAAGTTTACTAGGAAACTTATTCCGACCATGTTTATATATCAACAGCTCTTTACATTTACGATTGTTTGTATCCCTCAGTGACTCCTACAGGAGTTCCCATACTCTGGATAGTGGTGGGAGTTTCCGTGGCTCTTTCTACTTTGGTAGTAGGGATAATTGTCTACCGTAAGAGAGCAAAGAGGAATGAAAGGTATTTCATAAAATGTTATTGTCTATATGAATGCTTTGTATTATGATAATGACATGCATGCGGAAATAGACGATATTTTTTCTGTGTAAGTGTCTGTCTGTCTTTAAGTGTCTGTCTCTCTCAGTCAAGTCGCGCTGGTGAGTGACCTTCCTTACAGACCAAGGCGATGTAACTTTTATCACCTTCTATGAACCAGGAAGCCATCTCCGATTTAAGCATTACCACAAGCCCATGATTAATGACAACGAATTTCATGAACATTTAATTTGCACTATTTTCTTTAGATCCAGTGAGTCTGACATTGCTGAGTTCATGTTGCTGGAAGTCCCACACGAGCGGGTTACTATCATGGAGGAACTGGGACGAGGCGCTTTTGGAAGAGTTTATAAGAGCGTGATGAGGGAGTTACCTGAAAAGAATACATCCTCCAAACCCAAGGATCACCGTTTGGATTCGCATGAGGGGCGTATTGTTGCTACAAAAGTTCTACCAGGTGCGTGAATTAAGAATGTGGCAAAAAAGATGAATTACTCTTTCAGCAAACGCTATTCAAGGGAGTGATTCTTATTAATAACGTGTAAGAGAGCCTCTCTTGTAACCAGCCTGTCTTGTATCTATTTAATCCAATAGATAGCAAACATTATTTCGTGGAAAACAGCATCTCAATGCCTCAGTCGGTAACAGTGTGATGTACCTCAGGGGCCCATTTTAGATCTTTAAATTTTGTTTTCTACTTATATTAATGACCTCCCTGAATGTTTGAAATTTACCACACGTTTTGCAATGAATAAATTAATGTAGACATAAAAACCTTCAGTGAAATCAGAACATTGATAAGGTGTGCTCCAGGGTTAGTCGTGTTATAAGTGGTCTCAGACAGGCTCGAGATTATGTCACATTAAATGTACTAAAAAGTATATAGCGCTTAAATCGATGCCCGTGTTCAAGCGAAAACCGAGCGGGCACATTTTAACAAAACCACACAGATATAAAAAATGCAAAACAGAGTAGGCTGCATGATCACTTCTCAGGGCTGTGACATGATAACAGCTTATCTCTTTAAACCAATTCAAAATGTTAGTGCATGCCTTGGTAATGTGTAGATTGGTCGTTCTCTTATGTGATCTTTCGAAATACGTTATTCACATGTTTCAGTCACTTGAGAACTTTATCTGATCGTATGTGGTTGTAAATATGACTACATTATTGCAGCTTTACTTAGAGAACTACATTGGCTTCCCTTGGAGCATGAGTAGCGGATTTTAAATTATTCATGTCCGAGCTGAAATCGTCATTTGTTTCAAACTTACATGTCTGTTAGGAGTTCACGATCATCAACTATGAACTTGTTAATTAGTGACACCCAGATCAAGGCTAAAACTTTTATCGGACGATCATGCTTTTTCGTTTTGTGCCCCTAAACTTTGGAATGATTCTCCAGAGCGCACACAGTGTAAAATGGAGTTTGAATATTCGTTCTTCTAAGAGTAATCTTAAAGCTTTAAAAACCTCTAAGCGTTATTTTTATTTCGTAGATTTGTTTAACAATTTTTTTTGTCAGTGTTACGAGATGCTGATTTCTAGTCGTTTAAGTTTAAAACATCTATTTGATGACGATGACGGTGAGCTGAAAACTGTCGGTGAAACTCAACTACAAAAGCATATTGGGATGTCCCTGTCTATGCAGAGTCAATGAAAATGAGCCAATTGGATAGATGCGTTAGGATTACAAATGTTCACTCAAGGAAAGTCATATTACTGGAGATAAAGTGCCCGTGGATAGAGAATAGGGAAGTAATTAAAGAACACATTTGTTGGAACGTGACGTCTAGAATTAAAGAGACAGGTTTCCGGACTAAAAGATCTTCCAGTATTACATCATGTTACACGTCGTGCTTGGTGATCGCTAGATGAAGAGAACTGACGGTTTTTCTTTGAGACTTTGTTTTATCTACTCACTTAACTCAGGGAACCAATTTTTTAACAAATAGATTTTTTTTTCTCAAGCAGAAATTAGGACCTGAGCTATTGACTGTGTTTTATTTTCATAGGTTAAATATACTTTCATTTTAATAAGTTCTTTTTTTCTTTCCATCTGGTTTTAGTTGTTTAGTACTAACTGATATCTTGTAGCATATACGTAGGTCACGGTTACCTGGATTTTTTTAAAATGTCTTTTGTTTTTTAGAAAATGCCACGGAAGAGGACAAACGGCAGTTAGTTCGGGAAATTGAGTTGATGAAGGAAGTCGGAACACACCGTAATATTGTGAGCATGCTCGGCTACTGGATCCAATCACATCCCATCATGTTAATCATGGAATATGTTCCAAACGGAGATCTTCTTCAGTGGCTCAGAAACAAAAGGCAACAGGTATCATAACTTTATCAGCTGTATCAATAAAAATTTGCTGACCTCTGTTTTGCCTTTTGTTTAAAAAATATCTTCTCTCCATTCGCAATAGGGCTGCGCACAGATATTATTCATAGAACTCAAACTCAGACAAACGAATTCCTCAATTTTGTTTGTCTTTTTGTCATTAAAATGTCAAGTTTGTCTGACTTTTGTCGTGAAAATAACAAAAATGGCAGATTTCAGACAAGCATTGCAAATTAGTCACTCTGATGTCATTAGTATTCTGTGCTGCACTTTCTAATGAACATCGTGCTGGGCGTGTATGTTCTTTTTCTTACATTGTGTGGTCTCTTAAGGCAGAAGGAAGATCCTCTACCTCATCACACGTCTAAAAACTATCGTCTTCAGTAAAAATAGTAAGATGCTAAACAACTTGATGTGAGAATTTGTACATGTTACCTATAAGTTAAGTTCTCAAAGACAGAGGTGCAATAACTGAATGTAGATATCAATGCAACCGGATATTCGTATTTTTCCAAACGCGGTTTATACAGCCAGGCTGTTTAGATGCTATTCATGTATTCGGAAAACAAAGATCGGTAAATACACAAAAATTTGTATTCAACGCTGAATTAATAAAGGCAAGCTTACCCTGGGACGATCAGTTAAGGTTTCCGGGAAACTGCCCACCTACCCCTCCCCTAAGCCACATTTTGCCCTGAGTGAGAAGGTAGTGTTGATGTTGTCTTAGGAGAGGGGAAGGTGGTCAGAAAAGAAAACATGTACAAAAAGACGTTTTGAGCGTTTACCCCTGGGGGTACTCCCGCCCGATAGGATGAGGATCTCCATCCTTAAATATGGCACCGTTATTCTGTCAGGTAAATTCATATGCGTTAATGCCCAACACATGAGAAACAAATCATAGATCTGTTAAAACTGAACTTTACCCTAGAGCTGATTAGGAGCGCGATTTAAGGAAGTTTTTTTCTGTTTCCTTTAATTCTTAGGTTTGTTTTTCCCTTGAACTGGGCCTCATTTTCCATGTTTGGGTCTTTAATATGATATTGGTTTTCGTTTGTCTCAACTATTCGAAATTTTGGTGGGCATTAACCTTTTCTGGTCAGAATGAATCACGGGATTACTAATGGTGGAGGTTAGGCATGAATAGATTGTGCTAGTAAATTCAGGAAAAGTTGCTTCACAATATACCCAAAAGTTGCTCGAAAGTTGCTCAAATATCAAAAAGTTGCCACCAAAATTTAGAAAAGTTGCTTGCTCTCTAGAGTCGTTTTGTTTTAGATAAATACTCAAAACGCGTTTGTTTGTTTGTTGCCATTTAAACATTTTCATCAAATATTCTTACAATCATTAAAAGAGGCCAAAAGCCGTTGTTATATGACAAATATAAATACTATGAAATAAAATCAGTTAAAAAAAAAACATAAAATCGGTTTTGATAAAACCAGTTTTAATTTGAAACGACCTTTTATGGTTTGGATCGGTTTATATCAATTTGTTGCTCAAAAGTTGCCAAGGAAGGCAAAAGTTGCCCTAGGTTGCTGGTACTACAAAGAGTTGCTCAAAACGCTAAAAGTTGCTTGAATATGGTAACAAGACAAGAATAGTTTACTTCAACGAACGCTTTTCATTCTAGTAATTTACTTGTTTCTTTTCTCATTTTCCCATGTATTCACCAACAGTTGAGGTCCGCCATTTGATAAACCGTCCTTGATTCGAGCTGACAAAGGGCTTCCACTCAAAATGCTAGTCAGCTTTTCGATCCACTGTCTTTCAACGGTGGCAAGATGAGTTATTCAAATCAGCCGATAACACCAGAGTTTTGCTTTTCACCCCCCAACCGAAGCAGTAGAAAAGTTTCTTTTTAAAAAACCCTTCAAAATATTTTGGTGGACATAATGATTGTCCGTCCAGAGTTTCAAAACCGCCGCCGTCTGCTGAGCGGGAGGCCGTAAGTTCAAACCCCGGCCGGAGCAACACCCACGGTCTTTAAATAACTGCGGAGAAAGTGCTGCCTTTGTATAACATCTGCAAACGGTTTGACTTTCTGGTCTTCTCGGATAAGGGCGATAAACCGTAGTCCCCGTCTGACAAGCCCTTGCACATGTAATAAATCTGTGGGACGTTAAAGAACCCACACACTCGCTCTTCGTGAAGAGTAGGGCACGTAGTGGCCGGTGTAGTGGTTTATCTCACTTTCACACTCATGTATGGGGGCATCATTACTCATTCCTTCATTAGTTGTAAAATGCATCTTAAGCAGTCTGGCAAAGTCCCCCAAACAGTGTTGTAAATTACACATTACACGTCCCGAAAGCCCTCTACGAGATATGACGTTTAATCCACTTGAGTTTTCCGTGGACGCTTTAAAGAAAGTTGGCCCATAATGTATTCCCGGCTAGATTTTCAGTTTAACGTCGGTTAAGTAATCTTTCAATTCACATGGATTCCTTTTAAATTGGTAAAAATATTTCGGCTAACCAACTGATAGTGTTGAAATTGTTTCTGCTGACAAAACCGTTTCATGATCAGACGCAATTCATTTCAATATTTTTTTGCAGCTTACAAAGAAAAAGAGTCAGCAAAGTGATGTCGTTGAAAGGCTTAAGCCTCCTGTTCCTGAGAGACCGAAATTGGTGTCCAGGAACCTGCAAACAAAAGATGTCCTGGATGAAAACCTGGAAGAGGAGAAGAGCGAAAGAAATAATGAAGAAAGTGGAAAAGACGGTGGTTATCATTCCAGCAAGACGAAGGAAATTAAAATCGACCTGGACGACGTTGAAAGAGGAATTCTAATCAACGATGCTCCTCGATCTGAGATGGAACCTCTGTGCTCAAACTTGGAAGACGAAGATGACAAGGAGGAAGAAGAAAGTGACGATGTTAACACGTCATTTCTACAAAATGAAGGGCGAAAGGGGTCTGTTGCGTCGGTGATGGTGTTACCTTCGATCAAAATTGCCCATTTCTCCAAAGAAAAAGAGCTCACTCTTGCTGAGCCCTTAAGAAACGTCGAAGAAAAGATCACAATCGAGAAAGAAGAAAGCAGCTGTGAGGGCAAGGAAGATGATGAAGAAGACAGTTCTGGGAAAGAAGTTCTATGTTATGCATGGCAGATTGCTAAAGGGATGGTAAGAATTTTTTCGACTGAAGAATGCCTTGGGCAATTTAGTCATCATTTGCAAAGCACAAAAATCTGCCTCTTGCCCATATTTAAAAAACTTCTTTTTCCGGCATGGTATTCCACGGAGGGCTTCATTCCACTCACCCCAAGTCTCCCTGAAAAACAGCATTTAATTAAGAGTCAACAGGTGTCAACGGGCTTTCTTCCGCGGTTGAAAAACTTAAAAACCTTATTTTTCAGCCAATATTCATCCCTTCGAGTTATCGAGGGTAAAATTGTATTAAAGTGATCTGAAAGGAAAAAAAAATTACTTCGAGTTAACGGGCGTTTCGAGTTATCGAGGGTTCGAGTTACCGAGGGTAAAATTACGGCAAATGTATGAAGGAAATCCAGGGGAAATCGATTTTGGTTCGAGTTAGCAAAAGGTTTGAGTTAGCGAGGGTTCGAGTTATCGAGAGTCGACTGTAGTTCACTTAGCTTGTTCAACTTTGACGGCTTTTTTTGCTGAAAAGAATACGTTGCGGGGTTTTCTTGGCCAATTCCTTAATTTGTTTCTTCGTTTTCCAACGGCTGTAACGGAAATCCTCCATCCATTCTTCATGAATAGACCCAAGATGACTTCCTCCCGCTTTCCGGACCGTTTGCCTGGCACAGCTTGCAGTAGCCTTTTCCAGGCTCTCTATAGTAGGGATGTCGCGTAAGCGTAAGGCACCGGCAAAAATATAAACGCGTGATCTAGAATTGAAAAGGGGGCGGTGGCGGCCTATTTTTGAGCCTGGAACAGACGCTTCATTGCACTTGGTTGCTTTTCCGTCAAATCGTTAAATCAGTCGGGAGTTCGTTTACAACGATATCTCGATTAAGCTGCTATCCCCCTGCCATATCGTAAAATCGAGGTTCCTTTTTACTTTCATATTGACCAATCAAAATGGAAATTTGTGTTGATCTAAAGGTATCTGGTAATTAAAAATTGTTTGAGAAATAATTTCGTTATTTCTCTGCCAGGAATACTTGGCCAGCAAAGGATTCATTCATCGTGACCTGGCAGCCCGTAATATCCTACTTGGTGAGGACAGAGCGGTCAAGATCGCTGATTTTGGGTTGTTACGCCGTGTAAATGAGAGTGAGATATACGAAGTTACGAGCGTAAACAAGCTACCAATGAAATGGATGGCACCTGAAGCGTTGGAAAGCGGCATTTTTACTTTCAAGACTGACGTGTAAGTATATGATATGTTAATAAGGTCACTGTTAGGCTAAGCTTGGCCTTCCTGTGATGCAGTGTGACGTTGAGGTTCGAGATAACATAGACCGTGCAATGTTTAAAACTGTTTAAAAAAAGAAAAAAGAGCACAATTTTGACACTGTTTATAGTAGCGGTTATCACTCTATCTCTAAAGGAATACTCAAGTATTTGGAAAACATTAGCCTGTTCCACGCGTGAAACTTGAAAATAAGAGATATAAATAGAAACTTTGAGACGATGAAGTTAATCTGAGACCATCTTGGATCTTAGATTCCACACCCCACATCCCGCATTCCAGAAACTGGATTCCGGATTCCAACTCAGTGTATTCCAGATTTCAAAAGGCCTAGATTCCAGAATTTCATAGTTAGCAGGATTCCGGATTCCAAAGTCCATGATTCCGAGCAAAAACTTCCAGGATTCCGCAATCCGCATTACCTTCCGTGGGGCTACATAAACAAAATTGAGATTTCTATGAAATTTAATTCTTGCCATTTCTTTATCTGCTCCCTTTTATTGCAGGTGGTCTTTTGGAGTTGTTTTGTGGGAACTAGCCACCATGGGTAAGCTGGTTTTAAAAATCTTTGTATATTGATGCTGGTAGAATAATACTCTTACTAGTCATTTTGCTATACACGAGGGAATTGAGAGGAAACCTCCAAGAAAGTAGTTAGAGAAAAGATTACTGTTCGGTTTTAGGATAGCAGTCACGGGAGAATCGAGCCGCTTTATAACAGATGCTATTCTGACATAATGCTGTGATTGTTCACAACTAGAAAAATTAATAGGCTAACTTCCGCCGCTCTCCCAGCCGTCTCCGTCTTTACCGGGGAGGAGCGCAGGCTCATAATAATCCAGCCTATAAGTCATACCCTTAACCACAACTTGACCTGATATCACGTGTCACTTAGCGAAATGAATACTCAGTAATGCTAAACTTGTACATTACGTTATTTTAAACCCTCCTGGAGGTTGGTAAATTGATAATACATGATGGTCATTGAACTGAGTGGAGAGCAATTTGGTCTGAAATCATATGCGTGATTTCGAGCGCGAGTTCGATTTGAGATCAGAAGTATGATTTCAGACTAAAATTGCACGACAAGAAGTGAAATTCTCACTTTATTACAGCCATTTTAAAATCGCAGAATTCAATCCGTACGAGCAGTGATTGGCCGTGACACGAGATAAGTTAGCTCGTTATCCCCCATACTCGTTAACATATATTCTGAAGCCATGCTAAGAGATGAATGAAGATATTCGAGTGGGAGGTCATCTCATTAAGACAGTGCGCTTTGCGGATGATCAAGCAACCTTAGCCAGTTCAGTTAAAGGTCTGCAACTTATGATGGGTAAAATGCAGGAAAGCGTGGGGGAATATGATATGAAGATCAATGTTAAGAAGACTAAGGTGAAGAAAATCTGTAAGAGGCCTGGTGAGGAATTCACAATATTTCTTGAGGGTAGACAATTAAGTCAAGAATCGTTGCACTTTGACTACCTTAGGAGCCTCATTACACAGGATGGATCTTTGCCTGAAGAAGAGAATTATAAAGACTGTCATCTAAGGTACTTTTCAGAATGGAGCCGAATGACAGACCTCAAAGAAAGAGGACGTGCGAAGGCTGGAGGGCTGTGGGATGTAACTTTGGAGAAAGGTTTTAAACATAACTTGGTCTGACAAAGTATGTAACGAAGAAGTATTGAGGCGTGTCGGTGAGGAGAGGGCCATTATATCTGTCAGAGAGTCTGGTTTGGTCAAACCCTACTGCATGGTGATCATATGCCATTAGTTATTGAGAGAAGAATACCAGGAAAGAGACCACCTGGAAGACCTCGAGCGGGACTGCTGGATAGAGTGAACGAAGGATGGCAGCTCTTACGTAGCGGCCAAGAGGCGTGCCTTAGATCGAGAACCATACGGAAGGACTTGCCTGTGGGCAGATCAAATAACCTGTTGAAAAGCGGAAACAAAAGGGGTTTTACATCTCATTTTGTATTCGAAACAGAAATGATGCGATATAAAGCAAGGTGCGACGGTGTGACGTGGTTTAGAACATAAATAACGCGATTTAGAACAGATGTGATTGTGTGATTCGTAAATAAATCACACTGCTGAGAGCCAATCAGATTGAAGGGATCACCAGCGATTTCAAAATGAAAAACTAGAAAAGCCTGATAATCTTTGCTAAGACAACATTGATCTTTATTTTGTTATTTTAGGGGGTACTCCATACCCTGGGATAAGCCCTATGAGGCTATGCAGTTTACTTAAATCTGGATATCGGATGGAGAAACCCGACACGTGCAGCGATGAAATGTAAGTCTGAATAAAAATAATAAAAGACCTCCGAATAGAGTGCACGATGAAGAAATATTCACATAGTACTTCAAATAGTTTTTTTTTCTAAAATTGTCAGCCTTTTCCAAGGAGTGGAAACTTCAGTGCGCCTCTTTCCTTTACGTTGCCCCATTCTAAAAAGAGCCTATAAGTGTCTTCAATATTCAAAGTAAATGGAAACATATCTTTGTGTAGTGGTATTTAAAACTAATTGTCTTCCTTTTTCAACAGATACAAATTGACGATGGACTGCTGGAAGGAGGATCCAAATGAACGATCCTCATTCGCTCAACTAATACCGATACTGGAAGAGATGATGACGGAAGATACCCCTTACTATTATTTCAGACTACTGGATCAGAACCAGCCATGTTACCGTGAGGCATCCGCTACTAACACCAGTAAAGCTAGTACTCTTGATACGAACGTGTAATTTCTGTAGGGTCTCTACGGTCTATGGTTTAATTTTTGCAAAGCACCCTTTTTTTCTTTAGATTGTTATAGGGCTCTCGG